ACAGCCATAATATTATCAAGATATACAACTTGTTACCACTGGAATGACGCTGTCTGCAAGATAAGTTAATTGAAGGGTTTGGCAAAATAAAACGTAACCAAAGTGAGGTGTAGAAGAGGTCCTATACTGACTCCTCTCTGAAACTAAAGGTATATAAAATTGTATGTTTGCGAAAAAATAAACTGAACAGAACAAAATATGACACATAAATTACCGAACTATATAAAATTAAAAATTAAAATCAAGCCACCTTGTTAGCTTGTATTTGTTAGTACGTCTGAGTTCGCGCACGTCCTTGAGGTCAGATAAAATGATGACTAAGGACAAAAAAGATGAGGCACTGTTTTTAAAAGATTATACATATAGGCATGAAGATGTGCAAAACCTGTCGAATTTCATATTAGATAGTGTAAATTTAATGACACATACGTACAAAACGAAGAGGAAGAAAAATAATTTACGTTCAAAACAGTGACAGAAATTATCGATTCAAAATTGGGGCTCCATACTATCGCGGTCAGCTAGGAAGTCTCTGTTAAAACTTCAGTAGACGGCAAACATCAACACAATTCACCTATTTTCTGACAAACAGTGTTACTGTCTCACAAAAAGTAATAAAAAGAGCCTTACTAATACATTCACACAAAAAATAATGAAAAGATCCCATAGAAGTGGATTAAATTGCAAGTATATCTTAGTAACATTAGGTCACCGAAACCATGCACTTTAGGTTGTAATTTAGGTTTCAAGATATCGTAAGAATTACAATGAGTTGGTGTCCCTGTCCTGTTACTGACACTTATGTAAATTACTAGTATAGGAGTTGTGGAGATTATTAAGTTTTTGATTGAGATCATGAACCGATTGATGTTAGACCACCACAATTGAAAACCTGGAAGCGCTGGACGGCCGTTTCGTCCTATTGTGGGACTCCTCAGCAGTGCGCATCTACGAAGGCCCTGGGTTCGAATCCCGCGAGGGGAAATTCAACCAAATGTAAAAAAACAAGGCCACAGGAAACCTTCCTAATAATGATATAAAATATCATGTTGGCTTTTAATTATCACCATCAAGTTAATCGACTCAAAGTTTTGAACTCAGGAACACTTATTTTTCAGATGAGTGTATTTGCATAATTTCATTTCAATATATATAACTACTAGGTATTAATTAGATATTAAACAACAAGAACTACAAGGTTTGCAGAATAAAACGAATTCATCCAATCTTGCGATTTCCCATCAGCTGCATACGACCTAAAATTATAATTACTAATATAAATATACTTACCAACAAATGTTTAGCATACTTTGGTTTATGAATTTTATATAACTTTTTGAAACGTGACCGAAACCATGATAATCGGAAGAATAGGAGTACAAAGTGTATGAATAAAAATACTCAAATCCGATGTGCAATTGTAGTTTTAGCTTTTGTGGAGCTTATCAGAAACTGTGGAATAGGATGAACTCATTTTGTTTTGTAAACCTGGTTATTCTTACTTTGTTTAAATTTACCAAGGAACTTGGTTGTATGAAATAAGTAGGTTTATTTTAGAACTATGCGACAATTTAACAATTATTAAAGGGTATCCGACCGGATCACAGTGTTTGGGACGAACTGTGATCTTGATGGATGTGCATTTTAAGTCAAAGTTCAGGTGGGAGCTCCACGGCTGGGTATCTAAAACGTGATGCTAAAATAATGGAGATTGAGGCACAGCAGCCAAGAAAATAGCCATCAATAGTCAGCAACCCTCAAGTTTTTTTTCGGTGTAACAATTCAAGATGCATTTTATTAGTATGTTAAATATCAAGTGACCACCAAAATGAACCATTGTTAGATAAAATGAGTTACAGACACAAACAGCAGTGTTGATATTATTACTATTTAAAAATATCTTATGGGTACATAACTGTTGTGAAAAAACCATTTCGGGTTTCTTCAAAAATGCAATAATACGCAAGTTTCAATAATGTTGGAATTATATTTGCCATATTTGAAAAAGTGAGTAATAGTAATGGAATAATAATAATAAATCAGGTTATGTGTAATTGAGAAGAATATTGAATTGAGTTTATAGATAGAAAGGAAGAAAATAAGGGAATAGAAACAAATGAGGCGTGAAATACGCAAATAGTTTGATAGGCGTATTTATAATAAAGATAAAGATAAAATAATTCCAAATCAATAAAAAGTCTTTCAAACGTTGGTAAATTTCTAAAACGCTACTGAAGGATGTAAAAGTACGTGAGGATCTTATCGTGAGGTGGGCTAACATTAGCACATCAAATGTGAAGTCATATGAAGTTGATTGAAGCAAATCAACTGATCTGAGGTGATTTTGGTGAGGATGTTCAAAATGGGTGATAGTTCAATATGCTTTAGATACCTTACTACACAGAAGTCATCAGCTATGTAGGAAAAGTTAGCCTGATCCCTCAACTATTTAGAAATCCTCTTTGTATTAAAGACGTTATTTGGAAAAATCTCCTTTACCATGTCACCATACCTCAGAAAAAAATATCACCTTCATGGGACGGGTTTGAAGAAAAGGAGTAGAACTAGTTTTTAACTCAAGAATAAACCTTACTTTAAACTTCTTGCAGCACCAAAAGTGCTGCCTGTTAAGTGATGCACAATAAGTGATGTGACGATGTATCGTATATCACAATATTTCCCACCTCAAACGATCACTTATACATTTCAGTGTTAAACTACAACCAGCAAGCATTGATGGTGAGGGCGATAACTTCAATCCACCCGTGTTTGTGGGGACAGAACATTTTGTATGTATCAGGCTCTTTATAATTGAGAATAAGACAGTCAATCTAAGATATAGATTGTCTTCCTACGCTCACCACTCAGACTCATGTTTCCAATAATATGCTGGATTAGCTATTCTACTAAGACAACCTATAACATGCTAACTCGGACTTTTACACTAGGATTGCGTGGCTGACATCGGATGGACAAAAAAAGAAAAGAAAAAAGACAATAAAAGATATAGTCACTAGTTTTCTTAACACTTCACCCTCTATATATACACCCTTCTAATAAACCGCTTCCCTTGTACCAACCTTGACTTCCCTTCCTTCATGTGAGCTTACTCCAACTTGTTAAACATCACTACTCGTTGTTCTTTATTAGTACATTCTCTAATATGGAGCCTCTGACTTCACTTCACTCTAACAAGACATAATATGAATTTATTCTAATTTATTATACCTCTGTCCGTTCTACTACACAATGTTAAGCAACCTTTGGCGTTCACATCCAAGTGCCTTGCTGCTCCTCTGTTTCTTTTTTTTTCTCCTTCAGAATCTTGCTCTGAGAGCACAGCTATGAAACTTCTGACGTTTGGAGCAAACTTAACGTACGTGTCCTCTCAAGGTCATAGTTTACAGCAAGCGCTCTACGATTTCACCTTATAACAACTATAAACTTAATAAGTTGGGAAGCATTTTGCGAACCAACAAATGTTGTAATTTATAGATCATGCCTGTAAAAACGGTGTGTACCTGCACATGCAGAAATATATTATTATTATTATTATTATTAAGAGGTTGCTTAAAACAATGATGAATATACACAAAGCCATGGAATTCGCTAACAAAAATCCCCGAGATCTTACCAGTTACAGAACCGTAAGACCCCCTAAGCATCCTCTAGAACACTCACATAAGCTTAGTCCTGATACAAATCTCAAAGGAAATATCCGAAAAGCAGAAGTCAAGCACAGTCACTTGAATCGAAGACACACCTCTTACTCCTTACAAGTGATCAACTATAGGAATTTTAAAGTGTAGTTAAAAGTAACATCCTTGGGTTCCTCCAAGGAGAAACTTGGTACATTCTCATGAGTTTGGATGCCGTTTCGTACTATTCTGCCGATATTTCTATTATTTCTGTTTGTTTCATTTTTATAGGTTCCTAACTGAATAGATCGGTAAATCATTGCTAACAAACACAGTGGTTCATCAAAAAAGTTTCCTCTTCTCTGTCCATAGACATCTGAATTATCTGAATTTATATGGTGGTGATGTCTTCTTTTAGAATAAATCTTCACATTTACTTCCGGAGGTGCTGAGAGGCATCGAACGGATAAAATGGCAGTTATGACTTTCTGTAGCCAATAACCTTCACCTACAACCTATGATCTGACCCTAAGGAACTTAAAGATGCCACAGGTATCCCGAGTTTGACGTCTTTAAACTTAACACTTTGATCGAAGCATACAAACCCAGTCAAATCAGGCCAGAAATAAAGGGGTTTTAGGATATATTTGGAAAGCTATCGATACGTCTAGAAGCGTTAGGTCCAAGTCGGCCACTAAATGACCTGGTGCGGATGCGTGACAGAGTGCCTTCAGCTTAAGTGCATCCAATAGAACTAATGAGGTCGGGATAGTTGTTGAAAACTTACAGAAATATATATTTTGTGGATTTATTTGCCTCTAATAATTCCGCCATATGAAATCATCAGGTTTCAGAGAACTACGAATTTGTTGTCAACAATGCAAAAATATCTACGTGAATCGGAAGTCCTTTAATTATACCCAACAAAGTTTAGAGATTAAGGTTCTATTTTTTTTATGAGTTTCACCGCACAAAATCTGCATTATGGGAGGGCGCACGATTCGAGCCTGATTTCTGGTGGTGTTTCGGTGATCAGTTCGGATTATTATTCATGACTTCTTTATGAACCTAAATGCCTAACATATAAGCCTTTAAAATCAAATATTTTAGACATAGTTTTACAAATAATTTCACATCTCTGAAACTATTTTTCAATATATGATGCTGTGGTCGCAAATGGTTTGCCAACCTAACAAATGGAATTAAAATGTATGTGTGGATACTTCTTGTCACGTCTTTATTAAAAACGTAGTAAGATCATGATATTCAGGGAACCCCACCATAAAGATTTAAGTGATGATTCACATGTCAAGTTCCTTACCGAAATGGTGTAGATCATTCTAATTATTTCTCATTTGGAGTATGGGAGAATCGGCTTTAAAGGTAGTTGTTGGCGATGGAGAGTTTGTTCTTGACAAACCAGGTATGTTTCTCAAGCATGTAAAAGTGTTTGGTGAGTACGTTTTGTTTGATTTGTGAGGTTTTGATTCGATGTCAATAAGGACTTTCTTCAGAACTATATCGTTACCTTACAATCAGCATAGATTAAAATGATTGATAGTAGACATGTGGTAGGTGGTTGAAATTGTTTGATTGTGCAAAACATTGCGTTTAGTGTACGTTGCCGTTTGTTGACTTGGTTGACTTTTATTCGGGAGTCCTAAACTTCCGTTATATTTAAGTCGCTCTTGCTAAGGGTATTTCCAAGGTTAATCAGTCCTGTAAGTTGTATTCGCAAACATGAAACATGTTTACAAAGCATTGGTATTTGGCTGATTCATGGGTGCTGTTTGTCAAATAAGCAACTGTGATCGTTATCTTTCTTCAGTAAGCGCGTATAGTTAGAATTTATCTGAATGTAAAATAAATAATTTATACGACTCATAAAGTTGTCAGGGCGACTTCGCTTCCCAAAATCGTGATATTTTTTCAGCTTACTTCATATATGTTAATATTGGAAAACTATATTTATGTAAGCGTTAGTAAATTAGTTTGGGATATATTCAGCCTCGACCTTTAGTGAAACCAAGGTCCACACTTCACTTACGTTGTCATTTGTCGTACTTATTCATTTTTGGAAATGGCCTATTCCCTTAGGAAGTAAATGTAGCATTCCGGTGTAATATTATGTGATCATAGCTCAAAGTTGATCTCACTAGATAGTCTCATCAGCTGCCTTCTATTTCACAAGAGAAACGAGTTGGATAGTAAGCGATCTCAATAACATCTCAAACTAACAGGGTTTAAAAAACCGACCGATTCCAAACATCTCACGTCACTGATTAGTCATCATAACCAGTTTTCTTGGCTGAATTAAGTACATTTTGTTTCGGAGAGCCTTTCCATGGCCTACTGTATGTGTTCTGAATTAGGATATCTTCAACATTATCAGTAGTCACTACTTCGCTCTCTTTTAGGGACCTCACGGAGAAATTACTTTGTAAGGTTAGCTAATCGTCCATAAGACTGTAAGAGGACTTCCTATCAACAGATTTTACCGGTATATAAAATATAAGGTTTTTCAAGGTCATGTTATTGGGACTTTGTACTTTTCTCATTTGTTATGAGCTAAATAGTTATAAGTTTGTTGCTTCAACATCCACATGTCTCTTTGGCGTAGATCTGACTCGTGGAATATCAAGTGAAATGCTATTTACTAACATCAACTTATGTATTGAAAGTTTCACGGCTTACCTTGACGAAAATCTTTAATTCCGTATTTATATGACGTCTTTTTACTCTATTTCCCCCAGATATCGTTTCCCAATACAGTCGTGTAATTTCAGTCTCTCCATCGAGTTCAATATTATCAGCTGGATTAAAAGTTGGGGATCTTGTAACGTGTATTGACAGGATTCCTATTGGTGGACTAAAACTCGATGAATTGCAGTCTTTAATTAATGACTCTACCAGGTATCGTTTTATAATTTTATTTACTTAATCAGTTAGGTTATGTAAAATCCAATGAATTATAGTTAGCCTACATGTTTTTAGTAAAATGATGCGGTTTTTTCCTTCTGCTTTTCGTTCAACGAAGTTTTCAAGTATTCATTCTTAATATTTTGCTTTGAAACATCGACTCGATTTTTTATCTCGTATTTTAGGGGGTTCGTAGTTATTACAAGTCAGTATACTCGAGATAATCTCACTCGACCACACAATATTCAAGATTTTTGCTTATAACATGAAACGATTAGCTGGAAATGAACTAATAATCACTATGGGTCTCCTGGTTTGTAATGGACTTTAGAATCTATACACCACAGTAACCGTTATACAAATAGTTATTGCTTGTTTGGTTACGTTCCTCGCTATCATATCGCAGTTTCACGGTTGATAAAATATGCCAGTGGATTGAAGTCAGTTAGACGAGAGAACTGAGTTTGTGAGAAACATAATAGTTGTGACGATCGTTTCGGTTGCGGCATACCCGTAACACAAAAGATAAATATAGAAAGAGGAATATTTCCAAATATGAAATTTATTAAATAATAGTAAAATAGCAATAGGTTTAGTTCATGATAAATATAAAGATAAGGAATGCCTTCTTCGTATATAAAGTCCAGGTTTCACCTCATGGACAGCTAAGGCCTTTGCTTTTTAGGGAGTTAGAATCGAAGAGTTTTTCGGTAGATTCAGATAGATCTTACAAGCAACCTTAAAATCAACATGTGAGTTTTTCGAGGGATCACAGCTACTCCAGTGTTCAAGGATAGATCTCTATTGCTTTCCTTCTTCCCTTGTTATAACCAACTTGAAATATGTTCTCATATTTGAACTAAAGGCAGACGCCGGCTACGCTCAACATATCTCGCTCCACAGGAGTAGGTGAACTCCGTGTTTTCTATTTCTGCTCAACACTTCACTAATTTGTACTTCTCAGTTATATACAACCTTTTCCAACTTCTGAAGCTGAGTAAATGACATCTCCAGTCTCATTAAACCTCATTCCAAATCAAATATTCTCGTTTTAAATGTTAGCACTTTATGCCAAATCACTAGTAAAAATCATTGAATGCTATACTATCGACCCATTCCCTTTCAGAAACCGTCTTGAAAAATCTAAGTGTGTTTCTTTACTTGACTTATCTTAGTAGAAAACCTGTGCTATTTTTCTGAGACTCAATAGCCATTTATCGTAATTTTGGTGCTGTAGATCTGTCGTTGAGCTTAAAACTAGGATGGGAACTTTTGGTCGATGTTCTAGTTCATTGGTGCCTGTTGTTATTCTATATAGATGGACTGTTAGGACTGAGAATTATCATGATACACAGGACTGACATTTTGTGATGTTTGACTGTTCTCCAACTATCTGCATTTTGAATATGATGAAAGTGGCTTGGTCAGTCAAACCCTTATCATCCTTTGGATACTAGGATAGTGGTAGTGTATGTCACTGGAAGGCTGGTCATAGAAGTACGTAAATATTCAACCAAATATTACTGCTTTATTTAGAGCTTACGATCAACTAATTTCTAAATTAACTGCTTCAAGTGATGTTTGTCAAAATTATCCACTTTCAATTTTTACTAAATCTCACCACTGATATACATCCTTAGGCGACTGTCATTGTTTTTTCCGAGATTGACTTTGAGTATATAGATGACGCAGTGCCGTTTAGCGACCGCTGAAAAATGTCTTTCCCTCTCACTAAATGAAAAATATTCAGAATTAGCATGGGCCATCGCCTAGTCTGTTCATAAAAAGTATGCTTCGAACACTTCAGTTATCTTGAATGTCTCCAACCACGGAAGAGGGCTGATAAAACCTCAGCTTGGATATGGAAAAACCATTTGGCTTTTGCTGACTTCAACACTTGTGGTATAGGAAATATTTGTGTCTGCCTATCAAAGAAGGAGTTTGTGCTGCACTTATTTATGATTGTAAAACCTGGTTTATAAAAGCACAAGACACAAGAAGGATGTTAGTATTTAGTCATTAGTCTCCTACTTGTAGAAGGAAATCACGTATTGAGATATTCTGAATTCTTATTTAGAAGTGTACGATGCATACTTAACTTATATTGTCATACCATAACGTGGGATAAGTGAATGTGTTTATTAACTGTTGATTTGATCTGCACTTAGAGGTGAAAAGTTTCTGTTTGGGGTTTGCGAGATACTCCTAATGTTTGATTGGGAAATCATTCCATATGTCCTAAAAGGATTTATTCTGTATCTTACAAGTGTTAAGTGTAATATTTCCCCATACACTTCATATCTTGAATGTCTTCCTTTCTGATTTTATTTCTACGTTTCGAATACTAATATTGTTTTCACAATGTTGCTTTCCTTATCAGTTTTCTTTCATGCTGTGCTTCTGCAGGTTGTTGTAATTTTGACTAGCACCAGATCCGCTGGCGGTTGCAGATATATTTATGCCACATATATGCTGGTAGGCTAAAAGTTTCGATCTAAGCTAGCAGTAATTATATATGAATAATCAGAATGTAACCAGTCAGTCAGCTACAACGTAGGACCAGACACATATATGCATCGGTCCAAGTTGCCATACCTCATCAACACAACAAGATGGACACCGGATTCATAAAGTAGTTAATTCAGAGGTGGTAATATATAAAAGAAAGATTGCAATAAGGATATAGTACAGGATGAAAGAATTAGTTCGTAGAAAGAAAGATATGAAGTGATCTTAATCTCTTAGTTTAAGGGAAGACAGAGAGTGTATACACCGACGCCATTGTGGTCGATCCTGAGCCATGTCACCAAGAATCTCCAACTATTAGTTACGATAGTCACGCGGACCCCAACCAAGTTGTTTAGTAGTATCTACCAACATGGCTCAGACCAGAAGTTAGTGACTTCAAGCACTGATGCCACGTTTTGGTTTGGCCACCCCTAACTTTCTTCCAACCATCTCAAATACCGGTTAGCATTGCACGTCGTGGTAATCGGTGTTCGGGTATACGTAACACGTGGCGCACGCGTCTCAGTCGATGAATATTCACAACCTCATCGACTGATTTACCATCATTCCCTAATACCCTGCGTCTAACCTCACTATTACTTACCCGGTGATCCCAGCAGACGCCAGCAATATTTCTGAGGCATCTGTGGTCAAATACCAGTAGCTTACGATTATCTTCTACTCTTAATGGCCATGTTTCGCTGCAGTAAATTGAGACAGAACGGACTGCCACGTAGTATACTCGTCCTTTTATTGATAGACGGATATCTCATTTTCGTTATAGATGACGTAAAGTGACAAACGCTGACCAGGCTTTTTGAATCCGTGTAGAGATTTCGTTATGCAACAACCCATTAGGGCTGATCAGACTTCCAAGATAAGTGAAGTTGTCAACACGTTCGACTACTTCACTCCCTATCCTTAGTTCAGGTGTTGACGCAGACCAGTTCTGAAGCAACAACTTGCATTTAGAGGGAGGGAAGCGCAATCCAAACATTCTGGCATTGTTGCTCAGTGCTACCAAAAGACTCTGCATTCTATCAGCGTCTTCACCAAACAGAACTATGTCATCTGCGTATTCTGAGTCGATAAGTTGACCTTCTGGAAGGAAATCAATACCCGAGAATTCAGTAGACAAGAATGTTATTTCCATCAAACAGTCTATGATGAAGTTAACGAAAATGGAGAAAGTGGACAGCTATTGACGGACATTACTTGGGGTTGCAAAAGCAGATGACAGTTCGCCATAAGCTGTGACTCGACTAGTATTGTTCGAGTAAAGAGCCCTCACAAAGTTTATGTATGTCTGATGTACACTGTTCTTTCACCATTGTAGGTTACATCTGTGTTAGGTGTGGTAGAGTTACCATTCGCAAGGGAGGAAGCATAATGTCATATGTTAGGTGTCACTTTTGTGAACAATCGATCATATAGGAGGCTCATGTTAGTGGCACATGTGTGGTAGCATGTTGTACGATTAAGTCTAGATACGGCTTAGTGAATATACCGTAGTCTGTAACATCAAAGTTTATCCCATGATCAACACTTTAGCTATCACACCGCCCTCTATGGATTAATTAGGAAACCCGTAATCTGTTAAAGCATAGGAAACACTTCGGGGACTTATTCTTGTCAACAGGACACAAACAAGTTGAGTGTGAATACCGAGAAATCCGAAATATATGTAAAAAGACCATTGCCAGATGTCGTATTATTTATGAAAGACAGTTGGCGTATGATATCTCTACTTGTCCGAGACGATTGTTTTCGTACGTTAAACGGAGAACAAAATGTATTTATAGTATTTTCTCACCACGGTTATACGAAAACTCAGATATATAAGCCGAATCAGATCTGGCAAAAGCTGAGACTTTGTCAAACTATTTTGGCGAAGTCTAATCTGTGTGTACTGTTACAAATACTTGTAAAAGTACTAATTCCGTGAGGAAATGTGAACACAGTTAATAAAAAGGTTATAATACTAGGTTACGTAATAATAATAATAACAGTAGATTTAGTGAATATAATAAGATGATTAAAATGTCTTTGTCATAATAGTTAAAGGTCATAGAGGTGTAAAAATACATAAGGTGATATGATGAGCATTTACGAATAAAACAATGGGAATATGAGACATAAGTAAAGGGGGGATGCGGTAATAATAATAATGTCACATAAAATTGTACAATTTGTTAACGCCCGAGAAACACGGGCTTCGAAACAAGCACTTATGCTTGACAAACTTATTACAAGAGAGGATTGGACAGCAACCCTAGATAATGGGATTTCTATCGATGGGATGTTCATAGGCTTTAGCAAATCGTTTGGCAAGGCTTCACGCTTAGGTCTTGGTCAGGTGCTCGTAGTGTCGTTTGCTATGCTAAGCACACATAGCTTATTCTAGCTTCCGGACAAACCAACTTGTTCATTCTTCTTGAGTCACATTTTGATCTTGCTAATTATTCACTTATCAATCCTGACTGCTTTTTGTGTGAGTTCATTTCTTGCCTTATTCATCAAATGTCTTTACCTTACTCTTGTCTGGCTATTATTATCGATTCACTTTGGGTAAATTGAGTTGGCCTACATGCATTCTCCACCGCACGTCATTTTTCTTCGCCCTTTTCTCTTCGTTTCGTTTCTCCAATCTTTTGTCTGGAACAACGAAATGTAATGAAATCCACGTATTCCAAATTCGTTCTCGTTTTTTACATATTTAGTTCCGTTATTCACTAAAGCGATTTAAGTCGATGATTATATGCTAAGATTGATAATAAGTATATTTCGACAACAATTATTCGATAACGACCATTATTCTGATCTAAGTGTAGTCAGATATAAGGCTACTAAAGTTGTCGAGCTTCGGAACAACAGGTGCTGTACAATAATGAATAAGAAACTTTTTATCTGAACACAGACGGAGAGTAAATGCTAATGGGACGCTGTCTGAATGAAAGTCAGTCAAAAGTGGTGTACCCTAAGGCGCCATCTTAGGTCCTCTACTTTCCCTCGTCTACGTCAAAGAATTACCGCTAGTGCTTAAGTCGTCGACATTGTTTGGGGATGATGTCAAAATCAGGAGAACAATAGGAAGGTAGGCTGACCGTTTGATTTTCAACCTGAACCACACGAGTTAGTTGGACGGGCTCGAAGTTGGGGCCCAGAAGTTAATTCTACAAGGAGTGTGCAAATTGCGGACTCTCCACACCCTTTACTGTATTTGGGGGGCATATATACATACATAGAAATAATTTGTCTGCAGTCTGTATTGTTATTCATACCAAAGTATATCCTCATTTGTTGAGTCAGTCAGCTACAACGTAGAACCAGGCACATATATGCATCGGTCCAAGTTGCCATACTTCATTAACACAACAAGATGGACACCGGATTCATAAAGTAGTTAATTCAGAGGTGGTAATATATAAAAGAAAGATTGCAATAAGGATATAGTACAGGATGAAAGAATTAGTTCGTAGAAAGAAAGATATGAAGTGATCTTAATCTCTTAGTTTAAGGGAAGACAGAGAGTGTATACACCGACGCCATTGTGGTCGATCCTGAGCCATGTCACCAAGAATCTCCAACTATTAGTTACGATAGTCACGCGGACCCCAACCAAGTTGTTTAGTAGTATCTACCAACATGGTTCAGACCAGAAGTTAGTGACTTCAAGCACTGATGCCACGTTTTGGTTTGGCCACCCCTAACTTTCTTCCAACCATTCCGAACACTGGTTAGCATTGCACGTCGTGGTAATCGGTGTTCAGGTATACGTAACACGTGGCGCACGCGTCTCAGTCGATGAATATTCACAACCTCATCGACTGACTTACCATCATTTCCTAATACCCTGCGTCTAACCCCACTATTACTTACCCGGTGATCCCAGCATACGCCAGCAATATTTCTGAGGCATCTGTGGTCAAATACCAGTAGCTTACGATTATCTTCTACTCTTAATGGCCATGTTTCGCTGCAGTAAATTGAGACAGAACGGACTGCCACGTAGTATACTCGTCCTTTTATTGATAGACGGATATCTCATTTTCGTTATAGATGACGTAAAGTGACAAACGCTGACCAGGCTTTTTGAATCCGTGTAGAGATTTCGTTATGCAACAACTATATACTTGATTTTTTCGTATTTTCTTTCCTGTTATTTCTTTCTTCATTGTCTCCAGAATGTTGCTAGTTTGTTTTGTTGGACAAATTTCTGGCTACATATTGTAACGGTTTTTCTTGGAAATAACTTCGAGTTGTAGATAACCACAGATGTTGACTTTGTAATACAGTTACCACGTTTATGTTCGTGTCTTAGATTATGAACCATAAATTGCCGTTTTAACATTAATAAATAGAGCAGGTTTTGAGTTCATGATTAACAATTTATCACTTACATACCAACACGTTAGTCATATTCACACTAGTTACTTTGAGCTCTTATATTTTTCTGTTCTTCTGGTTGAAATAATTTTCGTTCTAATCATAGTCTACTTCTGTACATTTTAGTTCCGGTGAACTGAAACTGAAAGTGTTAGACAATGGAGGTGAAATATGTTGCTCCTTCCCAGTAGAAGTTGGTAACAAAACAATTTGTCAAACAATAAATAAAGGTAAAGCATTTTGATTCATTAGGATTATATATATATATATATATATATATATATATATATTAACAAGTAGAGTAACTATTTATTACAATAAATCGACCTTTCGCTAGTGAAAATACATTCCAGGGATATCAGCAAGCAATCACTATTTGGATGAAGTCAATTTCGTTGTTATCGTTAAGCATGTATGTATGAAAACCATGATAACAAACTTCAAAAATACCTTACCACTCTTTTCGTCTTTTTCCGAAACCATAATATTATGTATAGTTTCATTGGTTTGTCGTATTACGCTTATCACTATGATTTTCAAATTTTATCTCTGCAATAAAATGTCCACTAAACATCTGGGTTCACTCCGTTGACTTTGCAATTTTTCTACTGTTTAGGTTGAAGTATGTAGGCAGATGAAATCTCCCATGAACTAACTAATCAGGTAGAGTAATAAAGCATTCAGGGCATAATGACTTATTTAGTAGATTTAAATATAAAAAAGGTTGCGTGAAATAGTCTGTTTTCTTAAAAAAGCAATGGTCTCATAAATTTAAAAAGATAATTTATTGAATAACATCTTTCATGATTTGGACGGGGCTTTTCTTCAACTATCTTAGAGAGTACAAACGAATAGGTCGAATTGTTCTTCAGCTAACTCTGTGGTGGGATTCCTTAGCTGTATGTAGGACAGCATATTTCATAAATTGAGCAAACGTTTCGCAACTTTTATCGGTACAGTTCTTAAGGTTACTGGGAAGTTAATTTTTAGCTATCAGTCTTTTCTTTTCAAAATTATTTTCATTCCAATCCCACAAGTTATTTTGGTCTCTTTGACTGACTACTTTCAATATGCTTAATTAAGGAGTAAAGGGAGCTCTAATTCTAAATATTTCTGTTAAGTATGTTATGTAGTGTATTTATTTTAGAAGCACTAACGATAGCATCCAATTTCCGAAATCTTGGAAGATAAAGCTGAGTTTAAACCTCTAAGTTACAGTTCAATAATGTCCTTAATAATTGAGCAAAGTTGTATCATTCAGTGAGTAATTTTACGTTATATACTATTGGATTTTACTCGTACATTTAAGATTTTATCACACTATTGACTAATTTTTTATGTGCTATGAAGCGAGTACTTTATTGTTAAGAATTATAATTCCTTATTACTTGGAGAATAAATAATTTACAAAATAAACAGAAATTATTAATCGATTTCATTCATGTTATTGATTTGTTTAACGTATGTATTTAAACTTATAAATCAAGACCATGTTCACCATTTCACAATTAAACAGCCGTTAGTGATTACTAACAATACTATGTGTCCATCCTATGTTTAATTCTTCTTTACTCATTCTGTTATGACCCTGAATATTCGTCGATAAGAAGGGGTAACTTCTCCCTTTTCGGTATTCTGGTTAAATATTATCTATAATCACTTCCATGTATCCCTTGATACTAGTCACATGGTTGTTCCACTGGAAAACATGCTGATGGGGTACGACTCGGCTCAAGAGAGTGAACACAAAAAGTAGATTAGTTTATTTTACATCCATACTAAATTTCCGAAACATCTCAATACACTTATTTGTGTATAGATCTACTTCTCAAGGATTATTAGTCAAGCCTAAAATAATTGTAACCGAAAATAATGATATATTGACCAACTGTCATATTGAATGAATCCATAATTGAAATTCTCAGAATACAGTTGAATGTTATACTCAATGAATATCATGCTGAATTAACTCATAATCTCACTCTTGATCTCTCCTCAATGCTTTATACCATAAGTAAATATTACATCTAATGTCATAAGAGATTTCAAATTATTTGTTTACTTTGACTTAGTTCTTCATATACTTCTGAGGTTTGTTTCAGTCAGTGGTCTTGAGTGCTGTTAGAGGTTTGTTTAGTATGTATACTGCGATCTTAATCTTTTGTTCAAACTTTTTTAGATTACTGAGAAAATGTCGCGTAACTTTAGGCCGTCTGAAGTGTTTTTCAAGATGTTTCACCACAGTATTTTCTTACACTGATTGTATGTTATTGAACTGTTCTGTTTAGCAATAGTCTCTATCGCATCTCACAAATTAGTTTCTTTTGTAAATCCATTTGGTGTTTATTTTAATCCGATTTATACCAACCTTTTGTTTAATTTAAATTGTTGGTTTTTAGAAATCATGGTGGTTCATAAGTAGTTTTTATTCATTTAAATGTTTATGTATTTCTGCCTCAACGTTTAGTATATCAGTTGTCTTTATTTTTAGTTACTGAACTCTCATCAGACAAATCAGAACATGAGAATTTGCGAATAATACATCGACAGGCTTATCGTTCATCTCCAGACACTGTTAGGTCACAACGCAATTTTAATGTAAGGAATAGCTCTCTCGAAAAACCTGGTCCGCAAATAAATTACAAACCAAAGCACACTTCTACCTGTTCTCCTGTTATTGGTTCATGCGAGTCTCAGTTAGGTGCTGTTGCAAGACTAGCTATCGATGGCGGTCTAACAACTGATCAACTGCTTCAAATAGGATCCTCAGAAACTAATCAACCTGGGCATTATTTATGTCAATCAGTCACCAGCTGTAATCAGAAACGTTTGGTACCAGATCCCAACTACAGTTTTCCACACTCAAGGAATACGAATTTTCAACCACGCATCCTACTTCGCCGTACCCTCACGTTTGTCGTGTTTCCCCACGAGGGACTAGAAGACCTGTATGCTATAGCTCTAGCCAATCTGTTAACCTTGTTCGAGGTCCCGGTACAACTGCAGCGCATGACCAATCACACGTTGCTATTTCTCCTACCCATACTGCTGATAGCAATCCTCGTCTATCTCAGTGCACGACATCTCGTGATAACCTACTCACGTGGCATAATCTTAACAACAGTAGTCGTGTTTCCCTTGCTGCTCAAATGACTCGCGTTGGCGGACTTGTTTTCGCCACTGGTTCACCAAATCTTGTATCAGAAAATTCGGACTCGAACCCGGCTGAAAAAAGTATTTCTTCAGCCAAGCCTTATCAATCAATATCTGCATGTACTTCTCCCACCAACTTGAAACATACTGTGTCATCTAATTCCCAATCAGGTTCTTTCTTTTCATGTTCAAATGTTCCTAGTCCAACGAATACCCCACCTTTATCTTCCACGAATGCCACATACAATATAGCAGCTACAGATATAGTTCGTTTGGGACCAGGTAATATTGTTACTCGAGCTGCAGCTGGTTCGACTGTGTACAGTCCTTCAAGTTTGATTCGAATGCACTGTTCTCCACAACCATATGTTGGAATGGGGATGACTGGAAGTCCTTATGTTCCGGTAGTGTCCACGCTTACAATCTCTAATTTAAACGTCCCTTCACCTGTATTATCGGATGGAGATGATTCTTGTTTATGTACAAAGCCCACCATCAATTCTGAACCGAATATTTCAACTACATATTCAGATTTAGAGACAAATAGAACATCTGAATCAGTCTTCCCTTGTTCAAGTAAGGAATACTCACTGATGTGTTCATAACTACATTTACTTATATGCCTATAAATACTGTATTTGGTGTTTAAGACGTAGGAAGAAGTTTTTTTTTAATGTACGTATTTTGTTGTATTAGGAGACAATAAGCATAAATAGTTTATGGTAGATAGTCAAACTTAGAACTTGCTGGGTATGTTAGGTGCTGTTGAGCGTAAAGGGCACATTAAATCTGGATTGTTCAGATATAATGTCAACGAGTGTACTGAAAACTATTTTCGGTGCAACACGTGTTAATGTTTGAGACTACCTTATTTATGGTTGGTTCATAAAAACACCTCTGTAACATACAAAACTAGTATTATAAATTTTGCATTTTTACTCCTTTGCCCTTGGCGATTTCAGGAAAATGATTGTCTTTACTTCTATATTTAGTGTTAAAGTTACAAGTGATGCATAATTAATCTATTTTATTTACCTACCATAGCATCTTCACCAAGTCCTACAGAAATGTCTCCATCAATAGTAAACCGACCAGGAACGAAGAAAAGTTATGTGAATCCTTCTCTACGATCTTCAGCACCTGTTACATCATCATCCCAATATATTCATACTTCTGAAGGGTAAGTTGTTGTAGTTTATCGTTTTTTTCTTCAAATCAGCTTGTCAAAATGTTGTTACTTACGCCTATCGCTCCTCGTGGAGGAGCATAGACCACCCACCAGCATCCTTCATCAAACTCTGTCCTGAGCAATCCCCGCTACTTGTTTCCAGTTGCTATTCATCCTTTTGATGTCTGCTTCCAATTCCCGACGCAATGTATTCATTGGTCTTCCTCTTTTCCTTTTCCTTTTGGGGCTTCAACTTAATATCTGCCTCGTGATGCAGTTTGATGATTCCCTCAATATATGTCCTATCCACCTTCAATATATCTTTATAATTTCCTTTTCAACTGGAAGCTGGTTTGTTCTCTCCCACAGTAAGCTGTTGCTGATGGTGTCCGGTCAACTGACATTGAGTATTTTGTGTAGACAATTGTTTATAAATACTTGTACATGTTTAATGACGAATTCAGCTCCGTACAGTAGAACTGTCTTGACGTTCGTATTGAAGATTCTGACCATGATATTGGCTTGCGTACAGTTGTTTTGAGTTGCATATGTTCTTCAACTGTAGGAATGCGACCCTTACTTTGCCAATCCTTACCTTCATATTTGCACCAGCTCCTCCTTGTTCATCGATGAGGCTTCCCAGGTACGTGAAAGTTTCCACTTCGAGAGTTTCTCGATCAAGCGTGATTGGTTTAGTGTTGTCTGTGTTGTATTTGAGGATGTTGGTTTTTCCTTTGTGCATGTTGAGGTCTACTGATACAGAGGCTGCTGCTACAGTGGTTATCTTCATCTGCATTTGTTGGTGTGTATGGGATAGGTTGGCCAGTTTATTTGCGAAGTGCAAATCGTCTAGCTGCATACAAGTTGTTTGTTGTTTTCCGTGCTTCCCTTGAGATGTAGAGATCTTCACAATCCAGTGAACCACCAGAAGAAAGAGAAAGGGTGAAAGTAAGCAGTTTTGTCTGACACCGGTCTTCACTTGGAATGCGTCTATGAGCTGTCCTCCATGCAAGACTTTGCAGTGTGATCCGTCGAATGAATTCTGTATGATGTTGACGATATTCTCAGCTAATCACTCCATAGTGTCGAAGATGGTCCCATAAGGCTCTCCTATCCATACTTTCAAACGCCTTCTCATGGTCAACGAAGTTGATGTGTGGTGACGACCTGTATTCAATCGACTGCTCAACAATGATCCTTAGTGCGGCGATTCGGTTTGTGCACAACCGATCTTTAGGGAATCCGGTCTGTTGATCTCGAAGCTTGACGTCTGCTGAATGTTTCATCCGGTTCAGCAACACTGTTGGAAAATTTCCCTTGTACCGATAGTATTGTGATATGTTTGTAGTTCTGACATATGCTCAGATCTCCTTTCTTTAATATGTTGATGAGATATCCTTCTCTGCAGTTTGTCGGGACCTGTTCTTCCTCCCAAATCTTCCTGAAAAGAATGATGAGCATGTTTGCAGTTACTCCTATGTGTGACTTCAGTGCTTTAGCTGGTATATTGTCAGGTCCTTCCGTTTTCTCACTCTTGATTTATCTAATCGCCATTGTGATTTCTTCGATCGTTGGTTGAGTGACAGCTGTAGTAAGGCTTGTATGTGCTACTACAATGTCTGGTGGGTTCATTGGGTTTAGTCTATGCGAGAGTTCTCCAAAGTATTCCATCCATCTTTTCCTCTGTTCTTGAGTCTCAGTGATTGTCTTGGCTTCTTTGTCATTGACTAGTCTCTCTGGTTTACTATATTTCCCTGCCACTTTCTTCGTCGCGTCATATAGCTGTTTCATATTCCCTTCTCTTCCAGCTTTTCCCGCTGTTGTTGCTAGTTCTTTCACGTATTTCTGCTTGTCAGCTCTAATACACCTCTTCACTCTCTTGTTCGTTTCTGTGTATTCGGTCTTTGGATTGAATTTCTTTGTTCTTGTTCGACTGTTGGTAGTTGCTATCGTCTTGTTATTCTTTTCTTGAATCTTGTCTTGGGTTGTGATATAGATCTATTGTTTATGATGATGTTTGTTGCGGCTCGACAGTTCCTGACACGTTGAAGTTGGTGTTTCTTCGGTCCATTTCCAATTGCCCTCCATATTAGTTTCATCTTCTTTGAGTAGATCTAGTTAGGTTTGTAACCTGTCGTTGAGAGCTATCTTGAATTAATTGAGTTTGTCAATATCTGGAAGGAATGCTTTATTAAAACGTCGTAATGCTATTTCTCCAGTTGTCTGGTGCTTCTTAAGAACTATCAGTTTATCAGAATGAATAAAGTTATTAGCTCAAAAGGATGGTATCTAGCATTGGAATCGAGGACTAGCGTCTCATCTTGTTTGGGACGCGTCAGTTGGATCTACCTGTATCTCAGACTGATCGATTGCAGTTCTAAACATCGTTGGGAAGATTCAAACTATTAGTATAAGTGGAGATATCAAAGTAGTTTCTTACATAAAATAATTTTTCTGTATTTGTTTATTCTTCACTCCCGCCCATCCTTTTTCTTCTCAGTTTCTATTTTTTCTATATTATACACTTTGTCTCCTGCTAATTTGATATTGATGAAGACTTAGGAGGATTTACAATCGTGTCTGGTTATTGTTATCTTTCAAACTGTATTTAATTCAACCAGTCGACTGATTGCTTACCTACTTAATGGATTTCTGAATTATACTTTTTTTAACGATAAAGTCTTTCAGATCTTACCATTTTCTCACTTATCTATATTATTCATTGATGCTGAAGTTGTGGTTCAATGTTCACATCGCTTGATTGTCGATCAGCAAGTTGTAGTTTTCAACTCTACTTCACTTACATTGATTTCGGCAGCCAGATAGTAGCAGTATTTATCACTAGTCCTTAGAAAAATAAGGTGATCAACTTAGTAAATGTTAGTTAAAATGTCATTTCAATAAACGCTATTGAAAACCAATGATATATTGCGTCTAGTTTGGAAATGGACTTGCACAACTTAGGCTAGCAATAGTATATATATATATATATATATATATATATACCCACTTGGTTAGGGTTGTTGTTGTGCTGTTTTATTGATTGTAATTTCCTTTCTCCTTCTCCTCCTCTTTCTTTTTTTTTCAACCTCTTGTCGATTGACCGGTCATCTGATCTGCTTGTGTTATTTACGTTCATACATTTTTTCCTTGGAAAGCAGAACTTTCATTTATTTTAAAATTGTTTCTAGGATAGGGAGGGTCTTTTTAAAATATTCCGGTGTTGTCGTTTGTTGATGAGGGTGGTGTTATTATTGTTATTTACGGATAAGCAACAAGGTTTCATTGTGCTTTTTTTCATTGATTTCCGGACATGTGGGCATATATATATATATAATTTCGTTTTTATCATACCGTCGTAATGCTTTAATGCTTATTGGAATAGGATACAATACTGCTAAGCGTAATATTATTTAACAGACCTATGGTTTATTTAAATTTCGTGAAAAAGAAGACTGTTGTCAAACCTTCATTGGTTTATTTTCTTCCAGTCATCTTTTTATTTACGACTCTTTTTTAGCGAACATTTCATATTTAGTTTTATAGTATAATCTTTCTCAGCAGATAGTTTGTGTTGTTAGTTAGGGTGATCATAATAGTCAATGGAAACTACGATGTAACCACTCCTTACTCAAATCGAGATCCTCAATAAAATCTCATATTGAATTCCAAAACAGTACCTTACATGTTACTTAATTTCACTATTTGTCTCCAGCATTATAATAGTTTAACTGTAAGAACAGCTTATTTCAAGTTTCAAACAGTCAGAGAAATATTGATATGTTATCGATATCCTGATCTTTTGCAAGCCAATAAGCATAACTCTGAACCAGCGATTTCATTTTGTTGATACCGGGATAACCTCAGTGTAATTGTTACATAACATTTTGGCTTGATATTTAAATATATCACAACCATTGCTCCTAGTTATTTAAAAAGCTGAAGGGGCTGAGTGGAGGGTGATGATAGCTACATAAGATTTGTTCAAGGACCTTCATAAATACTTTCTTATTAGTCAAAAGTTTGATTTCAGTTAAGAAAATTTATTATGACCATAATAAATGTAATGATTCATTTTGTTTATAATTGTCTATTAAATTAAAGATGTCATGAAATAATTTTCCCTGTGTAGATTTCAATATTCACCTACATTTTTCAAATCTTTCATTGTAAAATATAGCCCTGTCGCTGATTCCTTCCTACCTCATCCTAAACCGTTGAATCTTTACAATGTACCAAGTTCACAAATAGTTCGAACCGTTAGACATCTTCGGCGTATTAGACACATTCTTGGTGATTCAGTGAGTATCATTCGATATTTCATTTTATTTTGTATAGTAAGCTGATCAATGTGCTGTGTAATATATTTTTATCAAAAAATATGACCAGTTATTTGGTTAAGTTCGAACTGCATATCTTCCATTTTAAAAATCCGGATAGTATACCCCTCAAATCTAATACATCTCTTTTTCACAATTGATTTCTGTTATTTTTATACCACACCACGCAACATGTTTTTGCTTCACACTCTTATTCACATACTGCCCTATAGAGCTACTAAGCTGTATTAATTTTTCAGTTACATAAACGTTTATATCCCCTACTTTTGGTTCAATAATTTTGCTGTCTTAAGGCCATTCTTGGTTGCCACATTTACATAAATGTTCCATCACAAATTTGACTATTGTTTTTGAATCTCAAGTTTTCCTTATCACTTGATTTCTTCATTTCTTCCAGCGCCTTAAGGATTATTATCAAAATGTGTACCAATCTTCAGGTCTATCGAGTTTTTATTGGATCTCGTTCGTATCAAAGGAATCTCAGTCGTTCGTAATTAGAGATTTGCCGTATCCCAGTTATAAAGACTTAATATCTTTAAAAGAAATTGCATTCGATATCATATCTTAACTTCCATAGAATAAATTCATTCCTTTTTAAGAATAACGTGCACCATGAAATGATGTCAACTAAACAATCCATTCAAAACTAAGACAGACTTACGGGGTAGTTATTTTATCCTAATTCAGAACTTATGTGTTCACAGTGTGTTCTTCTACAATCAAACTAATAATAATCTATTTGTGCTTTTCACTTTTGACAATGGATAGTTTGAAAATCACAAAAACTATCATTGTTAAGTTTATTAGTGTTTGAATTAAAAGTGTTTGTCCTCTTTTCATTTTCAATATAGATTTACTATAATTAGGTATTTTGAAAGCCTAAACAGTCTTTTTTCCTTACTAAATTTATTGCTTGCACCGTAAAGAAAAATGTAATAATATTTGTATGGATACACTTCCACTAAGTGTTACTTTGTATTTTCATAAAGCCTAGAAAAAAATATTTATGTACATATATGTGTATATACATGATCGCGTGTTTTGTGTTTCATCTTGGAAAAAGTTTGCCATAAAAAGCAAGTACTTGACCAAAGAACTATTTCTAATATTCATTAATTACCGAAAATGTTTCTATTAAATCTTCTGATTTTAACTAGTCTTTTCAAATTTATTTAAATAGATTGGCTACACTAGTTCTGCAACGTCTGCATCCACCAGTGCACTTGCAGATGAAGATAAAGATGACTCTGTTAGTTCACCTAAAGTTGGGCAACTACGATCTCATGGTTATCATTCAGTTGAATCGATCAGACGATCTAGTTTACTATGTGATTGTTTTCCAAATCAGACTACAGATGTGAATGATAGGAAATCTGTAAAAATTTCCAACTCTCATACACCGTCATATCCTGTGACTGCATCTATCGACTGGAATGATTCTGAAATAGAGGTTAGCTTTTATTCTTCATAATTTTTAGTTGATTTTGATTTCACATTTGCAAATTAGGGTTTTATATTATGACAAAGTTGATTGTTTTTCTTTTAAATATCCTGACGTAAAGATGTTTACCATACGTACACTTACTTACTTACTTACTTACGCCTGTTACTCCCAATGGAGCATAGGCCGCTGACCAGCATTCTCCAACCCACTCTGTCCTGGGCCTTCTTTTCTAGTTCCATCCAATTCTTGTTCATTTTTCTCATGTCTATTTCCATTTCTCGGCGTAATGTGTTCTTTGGTCTTCCTCTTTTCCTTTGGCCTTCAGGATTCCATGTGAGGGCTTGTCTTGTGACGCAGTTGGGTGCTTTCCTCAATGTGTGTCCTATCCACTTCCAGCGCTTCTTCCTGATTTCTTCCTCCGCTGGGATCTGGTTTGTTCTCTCCCACAGTACGTTGTTGCTAATAGTGTCCGGCCAACGGATCTGAAGTATTTTGCGTAGACAACTGTTAATAAACACCTGTATTTTCTGGATGATGGCTTTCGTAGTTCTCCAGGTTTCTGCCCCATACAGTAGAACTGTCTTGACATTTGTATTGAAAATCCTGACCTTGGTGTTGGTTGACAGTTGCTTTGAGTTCCAGATGTTCCTCAGTTGTAAATATGCTGCTCTTGCTTTGCCGATCCGCGCCTTCACATCTGCATCAGATCCACCCTGTTCATCAATGATGCTGCCCAAATACGTAAAGGTTTTTACATCTTCCAAATCTTCTCCGTCAATTGTGATTGGATTGGTGCATTCTGTGTTGTATCGGAGAATCCTGCTTTTCCCTTTGTGTATATTGAGACCTACTGCTGCTGAGGCTGCTGCCACACTGTCGTCTTCTCCTGCATCTGTTGTTGCGTTTGGGATAGAAGGGCCAGATCATCTGCGAAGTCCAGATCGTCCAACTGCATCCTAGATGTCCATTGTATCCCGTGCTTCCCTTCAGACGTTGACGTCTTCATGATCCAGTCGATCACCAGGAGAAAGAGAAAGGGTGAGAGTAAGCAACCTTGCCTGACACCGGTCTTTACCTCGAACGACTTTGTCAACTGTCCTCCATGCACAATTTTGCAGTTTAATCCATCATAGGAATTCCGTATGATATTGACTATCTTCTGAGGCACGCCGTAGTGTCGAAGAAGTTTCCATAGTGTTGTTCTGTCCACGCTATCAAATGCCTTTTCGTAGTCAATGAAGTTGATGTAGAGTGATGAATTCCATTCAATTGATTGTTCCACAATGATCCGTAGAGTTGCGATTTGGTCTGTACACGATCTATCCTTACGGAATCCTGCCTGTTGGTCACGAAGTTGGGCGTCTACGCAGTCCTTCATCCTGTTTAACAATACCCTGTTGAAGACTTTTCCCGGTATTGAGAGAAGAGTGATGCCCCTGTAGTTATCACAGTTGCTGAGATCGCCTTTCTTCGGTATTTTGATCAGAAGTCCTTCTTTCCAGTCTTTTGGTACTTGTTCCTCATCCCAAATCTTATTGAAGAGAATGTGGAGTATCCTTGCAGTTGCCGCTACGTCTGCTTTTAGTGCCTCTGCTGGATGTTGTCCGGTCCTGCTGCTTTGCCACTCTTGATTTGTCTGATGGCCATGCTGATTTCTTCAATTGTTGGTGGGCCAACATTGATTGGGAGGTCCGTGGGTGCTGCTTCGATGTTGGGTGGGTTCAGTGGAGCTGGTCGATTCAAGAGTTCTTTGAAGTGTTCTACCCACCTGTTTTGTTGCTCTTCAATGTTGGTGATTACCTCGCCTTCCTTGCTTTTCACTGGTCGTTCTGGTTTGCGGCGATTTCCAGAGAGTTTCTTTGTCGTGTCATACAGTTGTCTCATGTTTCCTTCTCTTGCAGCCTTTTCCGCCGTCGTTGCTAAATCTTCCACATATTTACGTTTGTCGGTTCTGATGCTCCTCTTCACTTGTTTGTTTACTTCTGTGTATTCAGCTTGTGCCTTGGCTTTTTCTGCTCTTGTTCGACTGGTATTGATTGCTGCCTTCTTGTTCCTCCTTTCTTGAATCTTATCCAGTGTATCAACAGTGATCCATTCCTTGTGATGGTGCTTCTTGTGACCCAGGACCTCATGACATGTTGAAGTGATTGCCTCTTTGATCCCCTTCCAGTTGCTCTCCACAGTAGTTCCTTCTCCATTGAGTAGATCATGAAAGGCCTGGAACTTGTTGCTGAGGACTATCTTGAATTTGTTGAGTTTGTTAGTATCCTGAAGAAAGGCCGTATTGAACTTTTGTGATATTGTCCGCCCCGTTGTCCAGTGCTTCTTGAGTTTCAATTTCATCTTGGCGACCAGCAAGTGATGATCTGATGCTATATCAGCTCCTCTCTTGGTTCTCACGTCCTCTATAGTCCTCCTGAACGTTTTGTTGATGCAAATATGGTCGATTTGGTTTTGTGTATAGTGATCCGGTGAAGTCCATGTGGTTTTGTGTATGCGTTTATGTGGGAATATGGTGCCGCCTATGACCAGTTTATTGAAGGCACATAGATTTGCAAATCTCTCACCATTTTCGTTTCTTTCTCCCAGTCCGTGTCGTCCCATGATGTCTTCATATCCAGTGTTGTCCGTTCCAACCTTGGCGTTGAAATCTCCCATCAGAATAGTCAGGTCCTTTGTTGGGCACTTCTCGACGATTGACTGCAGCCTATTGTAGAATTGATCTTTAGCGTCTTCATTGTAGTCGTTGGTAGGCGCATAGCATTGGATGATGTTCATTGAAATACCCTCTTTCTTTGTTTTGAACGAGGCTTTGATGATCCTTGGTCCATGAGATTCCCATCCTATAAGCGCATTTTGCGCTTGTTTGGACAGCATCAATGCAACTCCTTGTGTATGTGGTGCATTTTCATCTTCATGGCCGGAGTATAACAGGAGCTCTCCTGTAGTTAGTCGTTGTTGTCCAACTTGTGTCCAATGTGTTTCACTGATCCCAAGTACCTCTAGGTTGTATCTTCTCATTTCTGCAGCAATTTGGAAGGCTCTCCCGGTGTCCCACATTGTACGAACATTCCATGTACCTAAATAAATGGTCGCTCTGGTTGTCAGAAGGGGCATCGGCCTCGTAACTTCCGAAGGAATTCGGCTTTCATCATGAGGCGTCATAATTCTTCTAAATGAAGACCTTCTGACTCCCAGGGCAGAGTTTAAAAGGTTTGAATAATTTTTTCTGGTTAGCGTTTTTTTAGCGAGTTAGTTTTCTACGGGATGGGGACGCTAACCCCATGCCCAACCCTCCTCCTTTATCCGGGCTTGGGACCGGCAGTAGCCCCCGGAGGGACTCCAGGCGGAGTTATACGTACACTAGATTCCTGTTAATTGGTTTTTCACATTAAAATCATTTATTGTTAGTCAAGCTTTATACCTCAAAGTTAATTTGAGTGCTGTTAGAAGTGTGTGGGTAGTTGTTACTTCCTGGTTACCTTCACCATGGAGGGATTCGTCTTGGGGTGCTTGAAAACGAAGCTGGATTGGTAATGGTCTTGACGACCTAGCAGCGCAACCTTAAAGCCCAATAAACAACTGGTTAAGACCGGTTACTTCTTGATGTGTTAGTTCTTCACTTTAAATGCCTTACCATCTGGTGTTTGATATCTGTTGGGCAAGGTGTGCTAATATTAGGACCGACCTTTTCTAACCTCTTCCTTCTGTTGTCAAAACGCAGCATTACTGCAGACGCTAGTCGCCTGAATGGGAAATCTTACTCCTATTACACCTTTGCACAGTTGGCAGTGCAACTTCTCTCTTGGATCATATGCTTACCACTTCTAGCCGTACTATTCTTCAACCTCTTTGCCTAGTGTGGTAGAATATAAAAAATCAAGTGTTCCACCCGATGTGTCCTCACTTGGGTCATCATAATAAGCGAACCAGATAACCGTGTCGAGGTGCCAACTATAATCGGGAAAATATTAATTAATTGAGGATCTCGAGTTTAGTGAATATTTTGGTAATAAATAATTGATATAATGGAGGTGAATAAGGCTACGACTAGCTGTTGCGAACAGTAAATAAATAGTATGAAATGGTAATTTAAAATCTTTTTTTCTAAGTCACAATTTTAGAGATTACAGATTACTATTAACAGTGGAATTTCAAATAATTACTATTCTTTGTCGTGTATTATTATCTGATACTGTTGGGAGGGGGGTCAGTAGAGGGATACCTTAGTTCCTGAAAGTATATTTATATACGCCTTATGTCACATTATACCAATGGGAAAAAATTTGCGCACACGCATCTGATTGATTGTAAGTTGAGTAAATTACGATCGTTCAATAACTTCTAAATGAACAATTAAAAGATACGACATTCTCTGTTGTTTCATTGTTTTTTTAAACTGACTAGTCTTCGTGAGACTGTTAACACTAAATGTTTCATACTGTTATTATACTAACGTGTAATAAATTGCAGATAAAATATTATCAATCCCAGTTTCCTAGGCTTCAAGTTCATTGTTTTATATCTTCCAAAAGAAATATGTAAGTAATAATTATGTGATATAGATTGGATGACACGGCTCAAAATTTTTTGCATTGACTCAGGTGCACCCATTCTTTTTCTTCCTCAAAACTCTAAGCTTCTTAATCCCTCACAATTTTTTAAATTTCAGTTATCTATCTTGATTCGTACCTTCGATGCCTAATCTTTTCTACTACCATTAATACGGTTACTATCTCCACTATTCTGGAACTATTTTGACGATGTGGCAACTTGAACCGATGCACTTGCGTACCAAGTTCTACGTTGCAACTGATTGGGTGACTGATATCATATGAATACTTAATTTTCAACTGATTCGCACTTTTATGAAATGGTATTTAACATTTTTTAAGCACGTCATGTCGCTCAAAAATATTTTTTTGTTGGGGGGGGGGCTAAATAACATCGTAGAATTAGAGTTTATGTCATATAACTCGTATATGACTTTATTTAACTCTCACCTGATCGCTGTTAGGTAGTTCACGTGCTGCTGCCGCTTAATGAGTGTGTATTTTTACTTACCTTTTTCTAAATATTAAGGTAATATAGTATTTGGATATATATATATATATATATATATATATATATATATATATATATATATATATATATATATATATATATATATAACTTCAATATTTTCTTAATTTTCATCAGGCTCAGTTTATTGTAACATAAGTACGGCGTCACTTTGATTTCTGATTATTTCTGCATAAATATTTTGTAGTTTTCAAAGAAATCTTTATTACTATTTTTTAAAGTTATGCTATAATTCGTAGGTTCATTTTTCGTGAAAAAGTAAACATTTAATTAAAAAAATATGAAGGCATTGATACATAGACAAATAATCCTTTTTTTTTAAAAAATTTGTATTTACCTCAAAAAGTTTTAAATATCAATACTAGGACAAATATAAGTAAGATGAAGGAATAGAAGTGAAAATCGAACATGGAATCATATGCTTAGTATAAAGAGCTGACAACTTGATAAGCACTAGTCGGTGAGACTATAATTTATGGATGACCTTTGAGTGATGCTAGACTAACCTTGAGAGCGTCCACTTAATTACTAGTATCAAATGTGGATTATGAACCTGTGTAATTACGTAATTATGATTTACAGTTGATGGTTAGGGTTTTCATCACGAACTGACATCAGCTATAATACCAAAACTCTATTTAACCAAATGGATATGTGAGTTTCGCGCCAAGATCCAAGACCTGTTATCTTATACCTTATTGGTTCGTCCATAAATTATAGTCTCGTCCACTAGTCTTGTTTATTTTCACTAGTCGTAGGTGAAGTTTTTTTTTTACCTAGTTCATCCAAAAAGTTTCCAAACTGAACTATATAATCTAAATACAATATTGTTTTACGTAATCCGCATTTATTTTTTAAAATTTGGAAACATATTTTCCTTCCCTACTCATTCATTTAAAAGTATTTTAGTCATATTAGATCCTAATATCATTAATATCAATAGAAATTTTTACTTATTTTCCTATATTAGAAATAAGGTTGTAATTAATTAAACAATTTTACATCAAATTTATTAGTGTTATTAGTCTCAGATGTAATCCTTGTGTTTATTTACTCATGAGTTATGACAATACATATTGACAGTACTTGTTATGCTTATGTTACATCTTCATATGTAAAGGGATTTAAAATTATCGTTCATATTCTAGATACAAATTTGCTAGTTTGGTTCCGGATGTGGTAGTCTTTACCGCTAGTTGAAAATCTACAATAACAGTGAAGAGCTCAACGTCGATCACGTCAGCGCAAATTTATTCATTCTGTGACTTCCTCGAGATATTAAAACGTAGTATTACACCATCATTTGATTTCGTTTTTCCTTTCTATATTATTTTCACTGTAATTTGTATATGGATTATCTCAGATACTCTGGGTAATTTCCATCCCTTCGTATTAATATGAAGTATGGAGAATTTGGTCATTGCACATTTTAGCTAGGTCCTGAGTTACTTATCGACGCCTGACCAGTTAAGTTCTCGATTATTTATTAACATATAATGGTGAAAAATGGACATTATTACTTTTCATATGATTCTTTTTTGTTGAATTTTTATAGGATTCTAAAAAATCACTTGTTTGGTGTAATTATCAAATGACGTTATCAGGTCAAACACTTGTGTTAACACGAGTAAATGATTCTTCAAGTCAGGTAAATTTCAGTTTTTTATTCTTCCTCTCTTTCATTTACATTTATACTTAACTTTACAAGTTTTGTTTTAATTTTATCATTATCATATGCTTTGTTCCTACTTTTTATTTGTACTTTTATGTAACTATAGACAGGTTTAATGTAAGCGAATCTCTTTGTGTGTGTTTTTTCCTATGGGGTTAAATCAAATTGAACTTGATATATTTTTACACTGTTAGGGGAAAGTTTATCAGCAGTTATATTTCCACTAATATTTTACAAATTAAGAAGTCATGTAAATATTATCTAAAATACGCAAAAAAAATAGTGAACCTGTTGTTTTGTTTTTACAGAAATGTAGTGCCACAATGTTCCTTTATTGATTTTATTTCTAATCGTTCAATATTAGGTTAATTATCCTAGATTATGCATATGTAGCTAGGTGGGTGGAGAAAGAGAGAGAAAGAGGAAATTGGATAGCAGTTGTTTAGTTAATCGATTATACTTTCATTTGACAGTATATTAGAATTGTAAATGACTGACTGATTCATTACACTGTAAAAAATAGTGGCCTGATTTTATACTGAAATCAAAGACATTTCGTCGTTACTTTACTTTTCTCCCTATGGACTCAGTCGTCTTTAAATATTTACACTAAACTGTTCACTAACTTAACCAAATATTTCTATAGGCATAGTCAAGTTATGAACTTGTTTTTTTCGAGTGTATTCGTACGTTAGATTCCTGTGCTTGTTCAAAAATACATATTTTTGATACGGTTTCTGTTGGAAAGTGCATTGTTTCCCGAAAATTCTACTGGAGTCGACCATATGAAGGAACTTCCTAATGATTTTCATTTTAAATTTGCAAACCGCACCCATGTCGTTGGGGCAGGCACCACGGAACTCGCTTCCTGAATGGGTGGTTCTCAAAGCCACCTTCAAAAAAATATGCAAATGCCCGCGCGGGGAGTAAACTTTCAACATTATTTTGTTTCCTAGATAGTTTAAGGGCATCGCAAAAATGTCCAGTCGAAGAGCTCTGGATTGGATTCACTATTACTTAAGTTTCTATCGTATAACTTAATACGAGTTATAACAGTTTACTTTCCTTTCTGTTCGTGATAGAGTATATATCCTGTGTTCCTCTGTCGATCAACATTAATTATTATCATTACATGACCTATAATGGTATTGGTATATTCGTGCCAAAAGTATGGATAATGTGATAATTAGCAAATTTTATAGATAATCAGTTGTTGGAGAAAGCGTAATTATTGTAATTCAGAACCCTCGTGGATAACTTTGTAATATATACATATATATCTGTTTGTTTTTCTTCTATGTTAAGAAAATATTTCAGTAGTATTGACTGAATATTCAGATTTAATATTTGGTAAGGCTTCTGGATTCGTCTATCCCTTTTTCCCAATGCTTTACGATAATCATTTCTTCGGGGACTGTACTAACCAATATTGGAGTTATTTATGGAGACTGTTTTGTATTTGACACCTTTGGTTATGAGTTTGTTTATAGACTTCAGTATTTTTCGACAATGAATTTTTTCTCATTCAGATTTCTAACCACCACACTGATCTTAACGAAAATTCCATGCATATTCATATTCCATTGTCTGGAGAAAGTTTAATTTGGTATTCAGCTTCTGAGTTGCCCGGGATAACATGTACATCTTTGCCATCGAATTGGGATTCAGGAGCTGGAGTTATTGGTGTGTTACACAGTTCAAAATTAAACTTAACATGTTACCTTAGCTTTTCGGATCGTCAGATAGCGTCTAATATCTTTGATCATTATGGACCAGGGAAAACCAGTGAAGAGTCTAAAGAGGTAACTATTTCTAATGTTTATCACTTTGTTGTCACTTTTTTCGCCGTAGTTTGTTCTTTGTCAACAATTGCAAAGCATTGACCTTCAGGACGCTGACAATTGTTTTCAAAGCTTTTCTTTTATTTGTTTATTTTTATGAAATTCAGTTTCTTATAGGTGTTATACTATCTTTTTAATATTTCTTTATTCCTACAGTCGCTGTCACGAAATCAAATTATTTCATTCATATACTTATTAACTGTTGGTTCATAACCTTTAGTTAAATGTACAATTTAATGGTTGGCAGTGACTCAGTTTGTTAGAAATAAAGTTAAATACCTTAGATGATGACACTGCAGTGAACGAAAACTCGGGTACGGGAAACCAATTTATTGTTTTATGCAAACTTATACAGTGCCTTTGTAAAGTATGAAAATCGTACATTCAATACACATTTGCATATCTTGTTTCATTTGTTCTTTACATACTTCATCATTCCTCTGATCCTGTTGTTATTCCGATTGCTCTTCGTTTTCCATCCTCTTCTCTTTATTTCAGTCTTATGCTGGTAAGTATTCGACTCCCAATTCCTACTACATACTGCTTGTCTGTCCGTATAAGTAGTTGATGTCACACTTGTCTACTCTTGAAAAGAAAGTCACTCTTGAGGTCATTCTGCTCTCCATGCCGCTTTCTTTTTTGTCGCAGCCTGTGCCATGCTTCCCGTCGAAATGTGGAGTCCACCAGCGCTCTGACCTCCATAGCTATTTTGACCTGCCGGGCCACCTTAATCCAGTGTCCGCCCAGCACCCAGGAATTCCCATGTCTTCTCCCCGTCGACTGCGACTGCTACACCCAACGCCGTCTCACCAGGCCACTCCAACATTACTTAAAATAATTTATGGTACCACAAATCCATCCACGTATTTCGCCCCTCTTTCGTTTTGTTCCATAACTTTTATCGATTTTATTTGTAGGAGTGTAATTCCCTACTGTTAATATTTAGGACTGAGGTTTATCACTCTCTGTTAGTTGATGTACATGCATCAACCGATCGCAGCTCTGTCATTAGCTTAAGTATATTTACTATGTGGTAAGCTATTGGACAGGTGTTTCGTCCTATTTGAGGCCCATCAGTAGTTTCTATATTCATTATTCACTTTAGTTGGATCGTTAGTGCGGTTTAATTCAATGTGAAGATAATTTTCATCATATCTTGGATTTGGGACAAATAGCTACCCAGCTCCTCTAATCAACCAATAAACGAAATGTTTTTAATGGTCCCCATTTTGGATTTTTAAACCTTGTATGCACCATTGAGTCAGGCACCACGGTACTTGCATCATGAATGGCAAAGTCAAAGATAAATAAAATCAATTTATAAGTTGTTGGAGATACTAGATCCCCAGAAATTATTTGGTAATTTTACTTTGGATATTTGAATGTCACACTTTCACTCCAAGGATGCCCATTTTTACCTTCAGATTGTATTTCTTCCTTGGCAGGACCTTAAATGTCATTGGTTCATTCCTTCGTTTAATACGCTACTTTGTGACGTTTTCCCAAGGAAATTTTTATACTGTATATATACTCTTGAGTTGTATGCGTGTTTGTCCGTACCTTTTCCTCTGCTGAACCTGGTCTTCTGCTCCTAGTTAGCAGGACCCGGGCGCATTGGAATAGTCTAGTTTGTTTTGTTGTGTTGCTGACCCTTCGTTCCGTCCGCCGATTTTAGGTGAACTCGTAATCTCTTCAAATGTGGTATAAGTACACCAGCATTTTTCTATGTCTCATTGTTGCCTGGAGAACGTAACGAGCTTTTAACTATCTTTTTATTAGTTTAAAAGGTGAACCGAAAGTTATTGGGGGGGGGCTGGACATAATAAAAGTTCAGCTGAGGAGTGTTGATTTACGTTCACCCCTGCTTTTCTATTGCGTTAAGATTCGAATTATTTAGTTAGAGCCTGGTCATCACAACAGTTCTAATATCCAATGTTGTTTTATTATTTGCATCTCACAGAAACACTCTACAGCCAATTCATCTCAACCTAGCTTGCCATCACATAGATTACGTTCTAAGTTTTCCTCTGGACGATCTAGTATTGGTCTTGCTGGACCTTCTGGTGTAGCGCCATTATTTAAAGCTGTTGGGACTGCTGCAGCATCAGTTGGTATGCAGCTTAGCGAGTATGTGAATTTTCAAGGATTATTACAATCTCATAAACAAGCTACAGTCTCTGTCTCTTCTCCACAAGAGTCTGCTTTATCTGAAAATGGTGATATTAACAAATCAAAGAGTAAGTTTTTGTCTGTTACAACTTTTTATGTTTCAGACAAACCGATAATAATACACGGTCGACTGTCCGAAAGATCATAAAACTGAGTGTGTTCTGTTGTCATCTCTGAATTTCTCGAATGAAATGAACATTTTACTGCATAACTGTTCTGTTGAAAGTTTGCTTCCTTCCGTCAGCTATTTAAATTGTGAATTTATCAAGCAGAGTGGGGCTTTTTTTGAGGTTGTTTATTTGGAAGTTACTTTTTTCATGAAGTAGTATAAATTGCAAAAACTATTCAGAAGTATAGGGGTGTATGACAACTGTTTCGTCCTAATTTGGGACTTCTCACTTGTGCACTTCCACGATCTTACTAAGCGTCAAGCCTACGACTCTCGGACCGCACAATGAGTGAAATCATCTAGAAACTGAATTGCTATCCAATGATTCACGTTTACAACAATAGTTTATTAACTTCATTGCTCAACTATCATTCAGTACCATTGATTATATCTGTCTCATTCACAATATTGTTAAACTTCATCTGTAACGACTTCTTACTAGAACTTCAACAATTGTTATCGAAGACAATTAATAGCAAGTTTTAAGTTTTGTGTAACATGTCTACGCAGTAGATTGTCTTATTCTTACTAATTGTACAAAATTGTTTGTCTTTTTCGTCTGTTTAAGATCTATAGGGCCGTCGCATCAGTGTGCCATATTTCTACCCGCGTTAGCAAATCACTGAACTTTCTAATCTGAAATGGAGTATAAAATGTCCCGAACTGGCTCATCATTCGTTTGGTTGATTTTTCTTGTATGATGAAATCTGTTTCACAATATATGAATAAATAGTTTAGGGATTAAAACAATGAACATATAATCAGTATGTGGTTGTGCAGATTGTTGATTTTTATTGAAATCATGGACCGATCAATATTAGACCACCATTGAAAACCTTGTAGCGCTGGACGGGCTCTTCGTCCTGATATGCGACCCCTCAACAGTGGACATCCACGACTCTGTCCATATGAATCGAACCCAGGACCTAATATATTTTTATATTCTGGTAGTATTTACTTTTAATCTTATGATGTGTATGTAATTATTTTACCATATGTTGTGATAAATTGCTTCTCATTGTCATCATTGTACAACAGAAAATTGCTCAATCATAATTAATTATCTGATATTCTAATATTTTACTGATACTTTTTATAGGTGATCAGACTTCAAGCGTCCAATCATCTAATCCATCAGATTTTACTGCACAGCCTAGTAAAGCTAAAGAGCTTAGATTTCTTCCTTCTTTTCCTCGAGGTCGTGGACGTTTGCATCAAGCGCTTACTAAAATGAAACGTGCAGCAACAGCATCTTGTGATCCTACTACCCGTTCAAGTTCCAGCGTAACAACGAGAAGATTTGCTTCATCTCATGGTTTTGGGAAAAACAAATCTATTCATATAAGTTCTCCTCTTAAAGCATCCACTGAAGATATGAATTGCTCAAATAAATTAGAAAACATTTTCAATTCACCATCTCATTTACATAATAATCATAATAATAGTCAACTTGCATTATTATTGGCTACATCGGTCTCACCATCACCTTCGTTGCAAACTCCATGTTTAACGTACTTGCAGTTAGAATCTAATGAATCAGTTAACTCTAATATTGATTCATCTAGTAAGTAGATGTTTTATGTAAGGAATTGTTGATCAGATAATATGATGTATAAACTATTCCAAAGACTTGCAGTAAATTCACAGATGTTAAATGGTTTATATATCAAAATCATTATTTTATTGTTCATAGTATAACATTTTTTTGGTTTGGTGCTTTGAATACTGTTTAGTTTTGTTTTAACATAACATGGAATAAATAAATAAACCGCTACTGATTGTTATGACCTTACGGCCTGTTAATATATCAAGTGACTAATCGCCTATTAGAAACACCGACTTATATGGCCAGACCAACGATGTATTAACCATTGCGAGTAACTCAGAGTCAACTCTTAGTCCTTTGAGATAGTAGCTTCTCGCCTAACCCAGCCGGTTCAGTCCAAAACACCAATATCAGCCTTCTTCATATAAATCATGTATTTCAGACATACCCAGTTGATATACAAGCAAATCAGACTACATCATACCATAAAATACAATATAACAATTATACAGGATCAGGCCGAAAGTGACTGTGAGTGTGAGATGCTGTAATTACTAAATTGTAAGTAACTTAAGAATAGCTAATCGTATAATAGTAATCAGTAGGTCAAATCGAAGCTTATAATAAAAGGGATATGAATATACATATAACCTAGTTACTTAATAGTAATCCAATAGGAATATATGTAATAATAGTCCATAAATAATTCCTAGCAGTTACTGTTCACTTATTCTTTGTCCGTATATAACATTGATATATATTCTTTCATGAGCGAATTTAATGCTGACTATTTTACTTTGTTAGTTTAACATTTTAGTTCTAAACAGAAAAATAACGACAAAGTCTACAGAAAATAAAATGAGTTCATCCTATTTCGTAGCTTGTTATCAGTTTCACACAGTTCAAAATTATAATTAATAATATTAATATAAACAGATGTTTAACACAGTTTAGTTTGTGAAGTTCAGATAAATGTTCAAATTGTAACTGAGATCAATATAATACGGAGTGTAGAATACAAAATGTATGGATAAACATAATTGCGATCGATGTGTGTTCGTATGTTGGAAAATAGTGTAATATAGAGTAGAATAGATGTTCTAGATACTAATAAACATAATCAAGATAAAAGAGGTTATGTAAGAGTAATGAAGTTGATAATCAATTGTATAATCACTCAACATGATAAGAAGTGAAACTAAAGAAATCTGTTAACGTTTGTGAGACGACGTAAGAAATAAAGATTATCCTGCGAACCTTGTTTTTGTTCTGTTTAATTTCAACAAAGGACCTAGTTGCATGAAATTTAGTTTTATTCTACTGAGTTGGTTAAGAGAGCATGCTCATAAAAAGTTCCAATTCCAAATGATTAAAAATCCGAAATATACGAATTAATTCGATGCATACAAAGGATGCTTTGATGATCCTGTATTCATGGGATTCCTATCCTATAAGTGCATTCTGTGCTTCGAGTGTGTGGAGCATTTTGTTGCTCATGACTAGAGTACAGCAGCATCCAGTTTGGGTCCCATGTGTTTCACTGATTCCAAGCACCATAAGAGCTACAGACGGAGTTGGAATAATAAAATATACATGTTAAAATCTAGAAAGAATACCTTCATAAAAACTTAGTATGTACTGTAGATATTCTTATTCTTCATAGTTTTTTTGTATGCTAAACTTTTTTTATCGTTTAGATTTGTCAGAAGGTCCTCATGAATATTCAAACAAAGAAACAGGTCGTTATATCGATATATCAGTCAATCAACAATCTAGAAGAGAACATAAAGCAACTAGTCAGCTTACTGTTTTAGTGTCGGAAACTGTAGATCAAGACATAAACTCAGATGGTAATGCAATTCAAAGTACTAGTAATCGAAGTGAATGCACATTGTTTGTTCAAACCAAACATCCTTTCGTACCATTGCCTGTTCAATTAAGTAACCCTTTACCATTACATAAATGTCCTAGAAGTACATTATCTCCCGTAAGTTTTCTTTATAACCTATTTTATACCATTAAATGTTTTCTCTTTGTTTTGATGAAGTGTTTCAAAGAAAAACTTTCGGAAAGAATTATTTTTTCAATTCCTTGAAATAAATTACTATGTTATTGATATACGTAATTGCTAGTAGTAGTAGTGTGGTATATGCTGCTTATATGCCGACAGATATAAGTAGTATGTAGCACCAATCGGATGTAGAATGTCTGCCAGCGGAAGATTGAATTGAAGAGAACAGTAAGGAGATAGACAGCAATTGTATTAATAACAGGATTGAAAAAATCATTATCAATCAGTTGAAACGATTTTAAGTAACTGACACCAGAAGAATCGAGTAACACGTTGTCAGATTCACTCACAGTTGAAAAATGTGAACTCTACGGCCATTGATTACAGATCATACTTCCAATGATCAGTTGAGTATTTCGTTTCCACCACAAGTCTTCATGCGTATATAATTAATATTGTTTATTAGTGTCTCAGTGATTGAAACAATGAATGTTTTACCTATTGAATATAGGGTTCGAAGCCTGTTTAATCTATTTCGATTAGTATCATTAGCTCTTTTTTTGCATTTATGTACGTATGTCAAACTTTATAATAAAATCTGTAGTCTGTGCTTGCGTAGTTATTTTTGTCCTTTGAAATAATGAGACTAGATACGATAAAAATGGTAATGATTATCATCACCTAATCCTGTTTTTTGTACATTCAAATTGTCATTTACCTGTAGGTTATGTTTAATTACATTCTCAACATTGTCTTCGCAATTTGATTCTTTTTAAGACTGTTATTATAGCTTCGTCCACACTGTCTTTCGATTTGATTCTTCTCTACTATTTCTTTCTTTTCATCTTAGTTTGTTCCTTTTGTGGTAGAACTATGCGTTACACTAGTCGAACGCTATGGTCTCAATTGTATCGGTATTTATCGTTTATCTGGTAGCAAGGTGGCTCATGACTTCATTACCTCTGAATTAAGTAGGGTAAGTCGTATTTCAAAGTTTCGATTGATTTTGTTTAATCTTTTATGATATTGTCAGACTATAAAGAGACCATAAATTTTACCAATCGTCATTGATCTTATTAAATTGTCTGATCTGAGAATACACTACTATTGGGTTGTTTATTCGCGTGCATAAAAAGAATATCGTTTATTAGTAATTCAATTTGAAATTTATTCTTGATCACTAATTTCTTTCCAGTGAAACATGATCACTATCATTTGATGTAGTGAGTTGTTTTCTTTTTGAGTGGTGTATCCTAGTATCGTTCTTAATTTAAATGAATGAGGTCATCTAGGATTATTGCTAAGCATACTTAACGTAAATGTTATAACTTTTCAATTTAACCACGTCGAAACTAAGTTGATCTAGTGTGTGGTGTAGTTTCAAACGTTTAAACTCTTACACATTTTGTTTTTAACAAAATTATATCAATAACCTTTTCTTGAAGAATTGACTTTTAGTTTTCATTTTCTGCTTCGTTTCACTAGTTATTTTTTGTTAAGTAAAATCTTTGACTAATTATTGTAAATCAATACATATGGGGTTTTCAATGCTTATTTCTTTCCTTCTCGAATAACTTTCATCACATAGTTATATTTTTTAGTAAAGTTTATTATTTTGTGGTTAAAGTAGTGAACACTGTTTTCTCTCTTATGCCGGCCATGAGACAATGTTACATTCTACTATCATGACATTCAGATACAAAGAATCTCTATAAATTCATCCAACCCACTATACTAGTGAGAAGTCCATGGAATGACTAGAAAGCTTTAATTGGCAAACTGAGTCGATGGGTACATAAATCATTGGTATATTGTACATTTGTGCCTCAGATCCAGACAATGTCATGTGTGCTGGGACATTGACTAAAGTGCGTAATCGGCTCCTTCTAATGGTGCACCTTGTTTATAATCTCTCACCTACCGTTTGGTCTTGATGTGCCATGTGGGCACAGGGGGCTTATATGTCTAAACTGTACCACCCTGTCAGACAAATATCACTGATAGCTATGGATGGTGGTTGCTCGAAACGGAATCAATGGAAAGCTGTGAACTGTTGGTTGCCAACGGCATCAACGTCCTTGGTTCTTTTTCCCTAGTGTACTTGTAGATGTCCATTGCTTTGATGGTTCCGACACTATGATGAAATAGTTGCTCAATCCTTAGGGGTTTGGAAGTAGTGGAAACAATCAAAATATACAAAAAATGACAGGTTAAGTGCCAACAACGGTTAGTCAAGTTTAAGGTTATCAGGAAAAGCTTCTAGTCACTTGTAGAGTAATTCCCATAGCTTACATCGTCCAAAGCTTGTGCAGATGTTGTCTTGGATAACAATAAAAGCTTTACGATTAAACTATCCATCTCTGGCAACTCGATTTCTGCAAATATTTCCTAGTTTTCTATGGTTGTTTAGCTAAAGTAACTCTGTGATATATGTTTTAAGTTGAACAATCGTCAGTAAACTTCCATTAATAATTAAGATCTTAATAGCGTTTGTTACTCATTATAATATTGTTATTTCGTTACATTATTGTAAAATGTTTTAGAATATTTGATGTTATATTTTCCGAATTGTCTGTTAAAATTGTGAAGTGGGAGCTGTCGAAAGAATATTTCTATAGTTGTAATCAATCATACAACGAAGGAAGGTGTTTATTTGATCTTATTTCTCAGTCTTAAAAATTAAAATAACATTTTCATGAAAATTTCATCATCATCTGATGTTATATTGTGATATGGTTACATTAAATTATCACTCACTTATTGGCCAGTTAGTTTCGAAAGAGTTCTTGCATTACTCCCATAGATTTAACATGGTGAATTTCAATAAAAAGTCCGTAAACGTCGTGTTTGTTTTTTGAAGAGATCAGAAGTTACTTAACAGTTCATAATATTGATATGTGTTGTGCTACGATTGGTGAATAAATTTCATTTAATTGAATTTAATTCCCAATTATTTATTTATTTATTAAACAGTTTACACATATTTCGACCTACTATCAATGAATGTTTTTAAATGTTTACTTATGTTTTCAGCCCTGAAACTTATAAATAAATGATATATAAAACAAAGTTTTGTTGGAATTAAAACTAATAATTTATGAAAATATCTGTTGGGGAACGGAATGTCCCTTGAATTTACCAGAAAATGATACAATTATTTTAAGTCACCATTTTGTATTTGTAAACTTCAAACGTTAAATTTGGAGCCTTAGAAGTGATATTCTCATTAGCTGACTGTTAAAAAATATGTCTTTAAATTTTGCATAAATATCTACCCTTTTTCTGATGTATCATCGTCAATTATAGTTTTAGGAATACTTCTGGTTTTTATTGTTTACTTAATTGTAGAGTGCTGAGTCAAAGCGTTATTGACGTTACAGTGTGAATTAGATTGGGTTAGAGTTATTTCATATGATTACATATGTTCTTCTGAATTCCACTAGATTAACAGGCTGATATATTATAAGAAATACTATGTAAATCAAGGTTTTGTTTGCATTATAATGATGATATAAAAAAGTTTACAGAGACGTTTTCCTTATTTTTCTAGGATATTACTACAATCGATGTAACATCAGATAAATGGAATGATTTACATGCTGTTTGTGGAGTTTTGAAAACATTTCTACGCAATCTTCCAGATTCCCTTTTTCCTAAAGGTGACTTATTTAACATTCTTTACATATTAAAATTAAAACACGAATTTCAGCGAAGGGATCTCTTTTCAACGAATTCTTTACATACATATATACATAAGTGCAGATATATTTTTTTACCTTCTTTTATGTTATATTTTTAATCAATTACATATTAAATGTTACTTTGCTTGTTTTATGTAGGTTTTTTAAAATTACGGCAATATATTTCTCTGTCATATATAATCTAGGTTACATAGGTCACTTTAAAATAATAACGGTTGAACAATATTCCTTTCTCTTGGTTGATCTTGACTGATTAATTTTAACCCATAAAATTTCTATTATAACATCGATGAGGACTTCTTTTGAAGTTGTCAAGAATATAAGCATTCTTTTTTCTTATCCGTTCAACTTGTCAAATTTTGCGTAAATGTTTATCAATATTTATTTAAATTGTTAGTTAATTTCTTACTCTTAGTTCTTTTTATTATCTTGAAAAGAGCAAAATCAAAGAATTAACTAGAATAATATGATTTCGTTTTATTTTGTTAGGTCCTTATCAGTTACTTGCGTTGGTATTTTCTAAGTGACATTCAGTAGTCAATGTATTTAATCTGAAATTTTCATTGAGGTTATACAATATTTGCTTAGTATTTTTTTTAGGAAAAAAAAACAAACAAACTTAGAACTAATTTATTCCCGTGATATATGGTTAGTTAGAGTAAAATGTGATTGGTTACTGAGCATTGATGAATGGGCGGACAGACAGCGTACTGACTATTTAATACGTGATTTTCTTTCCTATTATTGTTTCTTAACTCACTGAGTGTAAAGTAATTGTAATTGTGTTAAGTGTTATTTGGCCTATACTATGGTTCGCTATGTTTGATCGTGAATCATGTATTTGGTTTAACGTAATCCAGTCTGTGCAAAGTGTATCGATCCAGTATCCTATCTAAAGGTAATAGTTTAAGTTCCGGTGGGTTAGTAATAATAGTAGTATATTTTGGCAAACAGAAAATAATGTAATCCTACCATTATGCTTTCCCTACTCAATAACTAAGAATCGATCACGAAATCATCTCAATGTTTATCTCATCATGGTTTTAAATTGACGTAATGATGATCTATTATTGCCACTACATCTTGTTATTGATTGTTACTAACTAATTAATCATTACGTGTATGTGTTGAGTATTCATTATTTTTAGATTTCCTTAACGAATTTTCTCATTTAAACTGTTATTTTAAAAGTTGTTTCACTTCACTAGTACTCTGGCCATTTATGTCTTAACTCAATTAATAACATTCATATACTTTATTAGTTGACAGTATCACTGACGTTTTTCTCACTTTTAATTTTTTCCTCCTTGTTGGCGTACATATAGTTATGTATCCAGATTTTTGGCTGCTTGTCGCTTACCACAACGTGAAAAACGTCTTCTATCTATTCAACGTTTATTAAGTATTATGGAATGTTATCCATGTCATCCAGAGTATAGAGCACATAGAGCTACACTTCGTTATCTTGTTACTCATTTAGCTCGTGTTAGTGCTCGTGAAGGAGTGAATAAAATGACAGCATATAATTTAGCGTTAGTATTTGCACCAAATCTTGTACAACCATGTGAAGATTCGCCTGAATTACTAATGAGTGATTCTAAATATAAAATTATGGTAAGCAGTATATTCAGCACGCATTTGTTTCTACGTATACGTTTAATGTAAGAAATTATTTTACAATAATTTAACAATATCAGTGAGAATATTCTTGTATTAATCATTTGTTTAAGTTTGACTATTATATTCATTATATGTATATCTATGCTTGTGTATAGTGTGTTAAACGGAGAGTGAATGTGGTCTCTTGAATAGATAGAGATACATAGCTTAAAAAGTCAAATTGTCATATATATGTTATTAGCATGGAAAAATTACAATCATGACATCAGTGAAATGTCGTATTTCAATATGATTTTTTCTATTGTTGAATGAACTGTCGAAACTAAGAAAAACCAGTAATATTTTAGTACATGAATAAGTTTTCAGATTATCTGACCATTAAGTGTTTCGTTTATCACGACTAGTAAATAATACGTAGTTTTGTTTAAAATGAAAAACAAAACACTTTAAGGATTGTTATCGTGATAATTTATAGTCAGTTAAATAGTTGTTAGAAATAATGGTAAGACTCTAATTTATGGACGAGCCAATCAGAAGCGTTTGAGGAATTTCAAGATGACGGCGCTAAGTTCAATACGAGATGCTCACATTCGATCGTTTTACAGCAGGTTTTAGAGAAAAGGTGATTTTTGAGCGACTACAACAGATGGGACTATTAAGAAGTTCCTGTATCTGTGACTGCGGCAATCAAATGACTGCAGCACGATGTGCAGACTACCGTGATGATATTAGATTTTGTTGTACTATATGTTAGAAGATAAAATCTGCTCGAACTGGCACTTTCTTCGCTCGATCACGACTCAGACTAAGGCAAATCATGATAATTGTTGCAAATTGGATTATGAAGTCACCAGTAATATTGGCTGCAGCTTTTACAGATGTACACCCTAACCCTAAACCCTAACCTTAACCCTAACTCCATGCACTATGATTTCAGGACATCTGAACCTTTATCTAACCTTAACAAGTTTTTAAATCATGTAGAAGAAGAATACCCGCTGTAATTCATAAGTTTTTTATAATATGTTTTAACTGTATACTAACTCTCTTCTGATTGGCTAATAGTTTCAAGGTCACTTAAAAATTCGTTCAAAGTTCGTCCATAAAATATAGTCCTACCGAAATAATATGAAGTAAATGGTTATTTAAATTTTACATCTGTTACCCCTCATGGAGGAACGTAGGCTGCCCACCAGCATTTTCCATCGAACTCTCTTCTGGCCAATCCTTTCCACTTGTTTCCAGTTGCTATTCATCGTTTTTATGTCTGCTTCAAATTCTCGACGCAGTGTGTTCCTTGGTCTTCCTCTTTTCCGTTTACCTTCAGAATTCCAAGCTAGCGCTTTCTTCGTGATGCAGTTTGGTTTCACAATACAGTTACCGTATTCTGTTTGCTTTTTAAAGATAGAACAAATTATCGTATTTTTTTGTTTTTTGTACTTTGTAAAAAATAAACGTGATCATCATAGATTTGTGAATTAATGTATTATTGAATAGAAAGGGGCAGCTTCACCACTTCAATCTTTTCTTTTCTGTAATTGAGTTAATTATGCAATTAGGCTAGTGATTGGTATTTCTCCTCTCAAGAAAATTTAGCAGAGAAACTTTTCTCTTCGATGATGTCATTTACTCAAGCTATGCAATTTTGTTTATAAAGCAATCCATTAAAAAAAGGATGAAGATTACGTCATATCAGGTATTAAAAGAAAGTTGCGTAACGATTGAAAGATGCTAAAATAAAATCCAATGTACGAAATATAATTGTCCACTTCACAAGTATGAGGAAGGTTAAGAATGGATTAAAGGCGTGATGATAAAAGTGAAAAATTTTTGCTCTTCTTAAGATCAAATTGCTTGACTGTATAGATGATTTTTAGTGACATACCTGATGGGGTACAATGTAACCAAAGTTAGTGAGATGTTCAAGTATTAAACTATTGATCAGTGTGGATTTCATAATTGAAAGACATTTCACTTTAAAAATCAAGGAAGTGTTACGATAACTCATTGATAATAACATTGAATAAAGGATTGCGTGGTGTTATGAATTAACTGATATTGGGAATGTTTAAGTCCTTGGATTTCGATTAAAAGTGATTTAGTTTTTCCATGTTCACATCGGCCTGGTTTCGATCTCCCTGTAGTCAGGTCGTCATTGCACATTACTAGGTATTCTTGGATGAGAGTGAGACAATTTCCTAGTCACTTCTGATTCGTTTTTGAGACAAAAAGCACTTTCTCATTAGATTATATATTGTTACATAAGTGATTAATTGATAGTTATTTTGAAGAACGTCGTAAATATTCAAGTTATGACAAAAATGTCGTTTATATTTAACCTAAGATTTATATGGTTTCTTCAGTTTTTTTTTGAAGTACACACACACACCACACGAAAGTTGACTGTCGTGTATATCATTTATAATTTAATTGAATTTTCTGTCGTTAATCATTTCATGGATTACTTAAACCTTACTCATTTAAAGTAGGATAGAATGAATTACTGAATAATTGCAGATAGATAGAAAGAGGAAAGGAACAAGAGAGAGGGAGAGAAAGAGAATTAATGATATCCTAACAGAAACTTTTACATTTGAACACCTGTTAATGAATTTCATTAGTTTAATAAAGTAATGCTGAGTGAATATACCCTCATGACATTACTTTCATTACTATTATCAACATCATTACAAAACATGTTCATTATTTTGTTGTAATTCGATAATCAAACTGATCTCTTTATTAACTATTTTTATGTTTAATTTCTTTTCTGTTTTGTTTGTAGCTTGTTGAAACTGTGATCAAATATCACGCGTGGATATTTTCACCAGATTTAGGGCTAGAAAGTGGTTGCTCTGTCCCACCAGATTCAACAGAAGATTTAACACCTGAAATTGATGTTAATAGTAAGAATAATTCTACAATATGTGATAGTTCAACAATAGATTCTGAGGATTCAATTCAACAACCGGGACGATTAGAAGGTAACAAAAACACAATTATGAAAAACTGTAAATAACTTATTTTTGCAAACGTAGGAATAAATTAGAAGAAAGTTATAGGCGGTCAAACCAAGATTTGAAATAAGTTCATGAAGTCAGTGATTGTCGGACAAATGTGATAGTAAGCACAGTAAAACCTACCTGGCTGGGGTCTGCGTGTTCGCTGTAAGCAATGGTTGGACGAGACGTTAGAGAACATGGTTCGGAATCAGTTGCAGTGGCGCAAACGCATTCAGTGTTTATTTTAAAATGCTTATACTTTTCTATCTCACGAATTCATCCTTTTTCGAATCAATTGTCTATGTGCACCACTACTGATGATACTGTTACTACCTCTACTACTTTGGAATTCTTGATAATTTCATCTCGTCTTACTAGTATGGCGTGACATCTTTAAGCGATATGCATTTGTCCCAGGTGCTTCGTTGCTTTTATGACTGACTAACTGATTGAATTTTATAGCTGCCAAGTATTTTGCTCAGCATTTGACCTAATTAAAACTGGATGTGTTTTTCTGGCCAGACAAAATACCTTGTCCGTTTTGTTTAAAGAATACACTGTAAAGGTCATAGAAAGAATATGTAGAAAAAATATATATACATATAACTCAAGTGAGAAAAAACTAAAGCAATCTATAAAATATTATTCCTTTCATTAGAACACGTTTTTTTCCTATTTCTATGGTTCAAATAGATGATGGAATGACTAACAATGCCAGATTTATACCTTTTTTATACACTACATAAATAATGTTCTACATTTCCAACATTATGCAAGAACTTCAATGTGTATTATACCTAAAATTTATTTATTTACATATTCAAACACAAACGTTGGTACGCGGCGGCACCAAATATATACGCGCCGCACTTTATTATTTGATTTGTGTGACGGCTGGAATACCGCTCGGGTGCGCAAACCGAGGCAGGTGGTTTTTTTAGGGGACCATTCTCCGAGCCTTTGGCTTAGTGATTTAATCCACAAGGCAACTGAGCCAACGTAAGGAGATGCGGTAACCGATGGCCAAGAAAAGGTTCATACTCTATTTTTTGCTTAATAATCCTGGAACCCATGTACACCGTTTGCTTGGAAATACGGTTTTCTAACTCGACCAGGTGGATCCTCCGTACCTACCAACTCGATTAAAGCTCCGGATTTTGGCTTTTCGTTTTTTTAATTTCGTAAGCAACACCCTTACTTCGAGAAGGAAGTGATTAGGACTTCCTTAGTGGTGGTTGTATACGCGTGGTCATGTGAGAGCGTTTCGAGGAGAGCGGACTCTCCACACCCTTTACTGTATTTGGGGGGCATATATACATACATAGAAATAATTTGTCTGCAGTCTGTATTGTTATTCATACCAAAGTATATCCTCATTTGTTGAGTCAGTCAGCTACAACGTAGAACCAGGCACATATATGCATCGGTCCAAGTTGCCATACCTCATCAACACAACAAGATGGACACCGGATTCATAAAGTAGTTAATTCAGAGGTGGTAATATATAAAAGAAAGATTGCAATAAGGATATAGTACAGGATGAAAGAATTAGTTCGTAGAAAGAAAGATATGAAGCGATTTTAATCTCTTAGTTTAAGAGAAGACAGAGAGTGTATACACCGACGCCATTGTGATCGATTCTGAGCCATGTCACCAAGATTCTCCAACCATTGGTTACGATAGTCACGCGGACCCCAACCAAGTGGTCTGCATCTACCAACATGGCTCAGACTAGAAGTTAGTGACTTCAAGCACTGATGCCACGTTTTGGTTTGGCCACCCCTAACTTTCTTCCAACCATCTCAAATACCGGTTAGCATTGCACGTCGTGGTAATCGGTGTTCGGGTATACGTAACACGTGGCCCACGCATCTCAGTCGATGAATATTCACAACCTCATCGACTGATTTACCATCATTCCCTAATACCCTGCGTCTAACCTCACTATTACTTACCCGGTGATCCCAGCAGACGCCAGCAATATTTCTAAGGCATCTGTGGTCAAATACTAGTAGCTTACGAGTGTCTTCTACTCTTAATGGCCATGTTTCGCTGCCGTAAATTAAAACAGAACGGACTGCCGCGCAGTATACTCGTCCTTTTATTGATAGACGGATATCTCGCCTTCGCCATAGGTGACGTAAGTTGGCAAAAGCCAAACGAGCTTTTCGAATCCGTGCTGAGATTTCATTATGCAACAACCCATTAGGGCTGATCAGACTTCCAAGATAAGTGAAGTTGTCAACGCGTTCGACTACTTCACTCCCTATCCTTAGTTCAGGTGTTGACGCAGACCAGTCCTGAAGCAACAACTTGCATTTAGAGGGAGAGAAGCGCATCCAAACATTCTGGCATTGTTGCTTAGTGCTACCAAAGACTCTGCATTTTATCAGCGTCTTCACCAAACAGGACTATGTCATCTGCGTATTCTAAGTCGATAAGTGGACCTCCTGGAAGGAGATCAATACCCGAGAATTCAGTCGACGAGAATGTTATTTCCATCAATAGGTCTATGATGAAGTTAAACAAAAATGGGGAAAGTGGACAGCCTTGACGGACACCACTTGAGGTTGCAAAAGTAGATGACAGTTCGCCATAAGCTCTGACTCGACTAGTAGTGTTCGAGTAAAGAGCCTTCACAAGGTTTATGTACTTCTGGGGTACGCCTTTCAATGACAGACACTGCCACAGAATCTCGCGGTCTACGAGTCAAATGCTGCTTTTAAGTCAAGAAAGACCACCATTGTCGGACGCCGATAGGTATGCCTGTGTTCTAGAACCTGACGAATGGTGAATATGTGGTCGATGCAGCCACGACCAGGTCTGAAGCCAGCTTGATTCTCTCGTGTTTGCAGTTCACGAGTCTTAGTTAGGCGTCTGATAATTATCGAGGCTAGTATTTTAGATACTATATTAGTTAAACTAATCCCTCTATGGTTGTCACAGGATGATTTTAACCCTCTCTTATATATTGGGACGATAAGTGATTGTGACCAGTCAGATGGGATAACGTCTAACTCCCAGATCTTAGCTAAAATATTAGTCAACCTAATCGCTAAAATTGGACCACCATCCTTAAAGACCTCTGGAGCCAGTCCATCTGGACCAGCTGCCCTTCCTCGTTTCAGATTAACTATAGCCTTTTGAACTTCAGATAGAGTTGGGGGACCTACTTCAATGTTCCATTCACACTGTCTGGGAATGGAGGGTAGTTGTAGAGTAGCTGAAGGCCAGCTGAACTGTTCTCTGAAATGTTCCGCCCATCGTTCTAAACGTCTGGACTGAGAGCAGATGAGGGTTTCGTCTTTTTCCGAAATAGTCTGACTTACACTTGACTTATTAATTCCAGTTTCTTTTATTAGTCTGTAGAGCTGTCTTGTGTTCCCTATAGTCGCCGCCTTTTCCATCCCTTTGGCTTTCGTTGAACATAATTTTGAATGAAATATACTAGACATCTGTGGTCGTCGTAGTTTAGGACTTTTCAAATGGTTATGCACGTACAATTTATCGAGAAATAGAATCCAGAAACTTCATATGATCAGGATCACTTCTTGTTTACAATTTATATGTAGTGGACATATATATATATATATATATATATATATATATATATATATATATATATATATATATAAGAGAGAGAGAGAGAGAGAGAGAGAGAGAGAGAAAGAGAGAGAGAGAGAGAGAGAGAGAGAAAGAAAGAAAAAGTCTAACTTGTGCTATTATTGTGTTATCTCCGTTAAAGTATAACTTCATAAAAATATTCTTACTTTATGATGGTATTCAACTTTAATTTAATGTAACAAAGTTTAATTTCGTATATCTTCCTCCGTACATTTGATTTTATGTTGCGAGAGTGCTTTCGGGTTATTTACAATGAATTATTATCAGAATGTTTATATAAATCCTATCAGAAAGAACTTAAAGTTAAGCATATTATTAGTTAATTTTGTTCTCGTTGACGTTTAAAGCGTATAGTGTAATTGTATTAACATGGAAACTACTTGTATATCATAAATATGAATATCATTACCCCCTATTTTTTCTACTGCTTCAAGGTGACGTTCAACCGTTGGTCGCTGAATTATTAACTGCTGCTGCAAGCCTACCACCTCCACCATCTGACATGGATTTAGAAACAGCTGAAATACCTGGACCAGAATCTGATCGACCTTCTGACATCATTATGTCTAGACCACGTTTCACTTCAATCCCGACTAGTAATTGGTCGTCTTCAGTAACAAGTATTTCTAGAATATCATCTGGTGGCCTACTCAATGAGTTGAGTACAACAACAGATAATTTATCCACATTAAAAATTAAATCAGATTTCAGTGAAGAACAAACAGTTGCATCAGATGTAGAACATAATGAAACTGAAGGACATTTATTAAGTGTTACTAGTTCAATTTTGTGAGTTAAATTTATTGTTTTATAGTTTACCGAGTAGTTTAATTTTTTAAATATTCATTAACATTTGGATGCGTAATCATCTCTACATTATATAACTTTTTTCGATTTGATCTCATGTATTAATAGTACAAGCAATTATTCATCTCTGTTTTCTTACCCTATGATACTCATTATTCAATGGAAATTTGGTGGATTTATCTAGTTAATTATATTATATTATATTTTTAACTGTTGAATCGCAGGTTCAAACCTGTCTTTACCATGGATATAGGCATCTTAGCACTAGTATTATTAATCTTCATGTAGAAAATAAGCGTATTGGTACTGGACAGACCACTTCACTCGTTTTGAAAGTTTCATCAGCTCTTCTATGTTGTTGTGTGACAAAATTTCAGGAGAGATTTCGAAAGCTGCGTTGACTTCTGCCACGATCCTGTCGCTTGTAGCATATTTAAGAGGTTCATCTGCTAATCAACGAGCTAATATACTTCTGAATAGTCCTCTATGTATTATTAATTTCTTTTGATCAAGCAGAGTTCTGTCACGAACACATTTATTTTATACTGTTTTGTTTATATGGAGGTACATTGGTATCAATTGTAGTTTTAAGTAAAATTCGATGGTAAACGAGACCTACATCCAACGTATGATATAATTATTAGTATTCTACTGTTTTTCTTTCTTTTTATGAACCCTTATTATAGACGATCCCTTCAGACTCCTTCAGGGTTCGGTACTAAACTGGATAGTAAGTTCTACACTTTACTTGTTCATTTATTGTTCCATATCGAAAATATATTGATTTATATGAAAATTTGTTGAAATGACTAAAACAATAATTTAATCCTGACTTATGACACAATTCTCTTCCATTAAGCCTAATTGTCGTATCAATAGAATATGAACAGCATTTGTGTCCAATCTGATACCTTGGTTGACTTCAATATTGCTGAACAGGTTTCTGTTGTGATAAGTTATTGCTTTTTCACTGAAGGTTTTTTTCCCAAAGTTTCATGCTCCTTCTGGTTAATGAGCTTGTTGAAATATTATTGCGAAAAATGAATTGTCTCTATTGTAGTAACTGAAAGTATTTTTTTCATATTTTAAGTGAACTTGAACTAATATATATATATAATGTAACTAGAATTGCTGACATCTTTCATTGTTTTCACCGGTATAATATAAAATTTAGATCTACGTCACTTAAGTCAAGGGTGTTTGGAGGAATATACATCTGAAGCCCGTAAACTTGGTGTTCGAGTTGCAGAAAGCAAACGTGTACTCGAGAATACTGTAGCACAACGTTTACATGCAGAACAACGTTTATTTGAAGCCAGAATTGAATGTTCAGAGCCATTTGTAGCAGCATCACTAAAACCTCAAAATGATCTGTCTACAGAGTTAATTGTTCAGTCTCAGAGTCCCAATAATATGTCAACTTCAATTTATCCTACCCCTTCTATTACTGCTGGTAAAATAGGAGATCTGGGTGTTAGTGTACTCAAAGATGAAAGTAAGTTAGCTGTTTATTACTATATTTTGGATAAATTAGCTATTTTAGTCCTTAGTTGTCTTCCTACTTCATAATTACAAATTATGTCATATATTCATCTACTTATAGTAAAATCTCATATCCATTCACTTCAGTATTTATATTCACACACTTATTGTTCTCACTGTGACCTTCATACTAATTTTTGTTTTATCGGTTAAGAGGGTTATAGTGATTGTTCATTTTCTAGCTTTAATTCATGTACTAAGTTAAGTTAGGAAGCCTCTGAAAACCAAAACTAGTTGTTTCGTCCTAGTATGAAACTTTGATAATGCGCATCTTCAACTCCACCTGATATTGAACTCAGGGATTTGGTTTTCACAATGAGACCTTAAAATTCAAAGCAATTTGTTGTCTTCAAAATTTCATTTTTTTTTCTTTATATTCATTGTTGAGTAGTTCTGTACTTGAGTGAAACAGCTGTGCAGTCTTCCCTACTTTCAATGATTTTCTTGTTTCTATTCGAAAGTTAACAACCTAATACTTGTTAAAAAAATGTTTTCATTATTTACTTGATTAGTTTTCATGTAAATGTACATATGTATGTAATCTTATTCATCATAGGTGTATACCATAAACTTGTTATTTATACCATCCCTGTAATTCCAATACATTTATTCAAAACACATGTTCACTACTTCCTTACTTACTGCTTCATTATTGTAGGTTCGAGCAATACTGTTCATCTTGAATAAAATAGACCTATTGGTGATATTTAGGGGTAAGCTGACAATCAATGCACATCGTTCTGTTGTCTGTTGTGAAAAAAGAACGAAATTTTGTTTGCATGCATTTTCACGAATGAAGTTGTCGTCTTCTGTAATGTTTGTTTATTTTTATAAAGAAAAGTGCATTTTTAAGAGGCCTCTAGTGGAAATTTTAAAATTTATGTTTGATTCAATTGTTCCACACTTAAATATTATTATTTCTGTGTATTTTTTCAATTTTCCCTATTTTAACATTTAATGCATGGTTTCTGCATATTGATTTTTTATAGTCGTGTATGTAATCTTACGTGGTTTTAAAATGCCAATTCTTTTGTAAGGTTAATATTGAGCGTTTAATTGCGTTGATTCATTACATTAAAATGAAGTTGGTATGCATAATCATGAATTAGACTATTCAAGTCTTGTTGATATGAGATCGGGATAGATGTCTCATAGTGTTGTCAATCGATTTGTCACTTCATTATATCACTTTAACACTCTAACCCTAACAATACTTATTTTTGATGATCCCATTGTATATGCAAAAAATATATTTCTATTCAAAATGTAGGTAATTACACATATTTTCTAACTTTAAAGTGTTGATATCTCATAATCAGTAATAGAAATAGACCGATTTGCTCCTTAATGGACAGATAAACTCAGAGGTGATGTAATTTGGCTAGACAAAAGTAAGTTTTTCGTAAGTGAAAGGCTGAAGTTGTTCAACTACCTCAACTCCCCCCTCCTATAACAAGTTTCGAGACAACAATTTACATTTGAGTTAATCAACTGTTTTCAACAGTCAGCATTTATAAACTGGGATAACTTTCTTACTTTTGTGTGTCACTTCTGATATCTCTTTACAGTGAAAATAGTCTACCGGAAATTTTCATTTATACGGGGTATTCGACACACTAAGTCCCACTTATCCCCTTATTTGTTGCTTATTGCAGTATTCCTAAACGGTCCTGCTGTATAATCTAATCAGGACATAATCGTCTTTTTTTAGCTCAAAGTAATCATTACTTGTGTACATATTAATTGAGTCATGCGTTTTTCATGGTCACTTCCTTTATAATCAGAATAGCTGGACGTTTCAATCAGTTAATCAGCCAAATACAACATAGATATTGTTATGTCTGTTCATCGGTCCAAGTTCCCATGCCACTTCAGCATAGCGAGATGGGATTGTCAAAATAACCCCAGAATAGTATTATTAGTAGCAGAATTAGGCAGTAGATTAGATTGTACATCAAAGATGCGATTCGAGAAAATACAAACTGCTGAAATAAGAAAATTTTTAAGGAATTCGGAAGCTCAGAATTTGAGGAAGACGATGAATGGATGTACCTGTGCCATTCTAAGCGAATTTGAGCCATTTCGTTCAAAGTCTGTAACAATTGGTTACGATAATCACACCTTTCCCAACCAGATAGTCTACATCTATTGGCGTGGCTAAGTTCACTTGTCAGTGAATCCATGGACTGATGCCACGTCTCACCTTGACCGTCCCTAGCTTTCTTTAAACCTACTTCAACACCAGAGAATATCACCCGTTGCGGTAGTTGGTGGTCTGGAATATGTAACACATGCCCCAACCACCTCAGTCACTGAAGACTTACCACCTTATAAATCGATTTGCCATCCTCACTTAGTACCCTATTCATCCTAACCGAGGCGTTGCTTACTTAGTGGTCCAAAAATACACGAGCTGTTTTTCAGTAAATTGGACTTTTACATAAACAGTTTGTTTTTGAAATTCGCTTGAAAAGTAAGTTTTCATTATGTAGTACATGATTGCAGTTTGCCTTTTCCTTTTTTATCAAAGTGATTCGCATGCTGGTGCCAATTTAATTGTAATGTCGATTCCCTTTCAGTTAACTCTTTTATATTTCAAAAAACGATTACTATTTGCTGGCGAGTATTTTTCTGTTTAAATTAGTTAGAGTCATATAATTCAATGCAATCTATCATTCTCATTTTCTTAGACATAAAATGGCGATTCTAGACACTTACTAAATTGAAGTAAATATTTGATCTCCACGGGTAAATTTTGTTGTAAACCAATATTCACACAATGAATTTACATTATATATGTAACAATAATTTTTTGTTGACAAATTGTGGCAGTTAAAAGAAATAGTGGTAAAATAGATACGTGTTGTGTTCAGTGAATATTTGAACTAATATTCTAACATTACTAATAAAAATTCGGACCAACACTTTAGAATTACAAAAATAGAGTTTCAGACAAGATCGTAAGTACTGTAAAACTAATCTATTTCCAAATGATTTTTGACCTCCGTATTTGATTAAAACACCAAATGTATGTGATTTTTTATGCCGATTCACTGTTTTGAGTGAGTCGCTAATGAATTAACTCCAAGAAAATTATATGCACACACAAGTTTGACAAAACATTCAGGTTTGTAAAAATTATGAAACGAAAGACATCTGAATAGTCTCTTTTTGGGGAATCTTATGGATGCTCTAAACAAAAAAAAATAGGATTCGACAAGCGTATTTTTATAAATGATCACTATAAAATTAATTTACTAAAATATTTATAAAATATAGTTTCATAATCTTAGTTCTAGTTTTTTGGACAAATAACGTACGTGTCTTCCTTTTTCGGACAGATTGATTGTCTTAGAAGTCACTGTTTATAAACAATCAAAAGAAAAAAATATATAGAATTACCCTTATCTTAGAACGATATTACTATTGTTTTGTTATAACTGCAAAAAATTAATTCTTTTAGTTTTTACTCGTTTGCCTGTAATTGTCGTATAGATTATCTCATTCCCTCATTGTATCTATTGGTTTATCAATCCCGATGAAACGTTAACTCCAAAAGATTATGTCAAGTAATTATAAGAGTAATATATAAGTTTCATAATTCGAAGGTGCCATGATATTATACTTGTTTCTTAAAATACTGACATCACCTGACTATGACAATAAATTTTGAAACGAGGCTGTTTATCTTGGAAATTCGAACTCAGTTAAGTGCAGAATATTTAACCAAGAAATTATGACTTTTAATTATAACAGATATTTGATCAATGATAAAAATTAGAGTCTGATGATAGCCCATGTGACTCTGTGTCTACTCAGTATATTATTGTTGGGCTGTGTAGTTTTCTCGGTTGACTTTAAATATGCATCTACTGGCTATATGGTTTTACCTTGGTGTCTAACACTTGCCTAATGTTCAGTGTTAACTAGAGTATGAGTGGTTTGGAAAAAAAACAGTACAGGATAATCCAAGCCGTTTTGTCAACTCATGGGATCGCCAGCTATTTGACTGAAACATGTTTGTAGGTGCAAACTTCCTGGTTCTGATTTGTGCGACCAGTGGTTGAAGGTGTTGACTGATGTAACTCAGATTCGATCACAATATTGCTTTTCTCCCTCCGTCGTCCATGTGTACCTTTATTTCCTTCTTTATGGAGCCGTGTTTTCACTATTTAATCTTATTATTATTGATGATATTATTATTATTTATTTTGACTTCATCAGTATTTATCTTGTTACTTTCATCTCGTTGTGCTGACGTAATATAACACCTTGGGCTAAAGCACGCTAATACCAGCCTCTACCTTAATTATAATTGACTCACAATTAAGAAAGACGTTTTACTTGACTTTCCTGATCTCAATTAAGCATTCCCGTTTTTTTCTTCTTTACAAAACTTAAATTTTTTGTAGAGTTATCTGTGTGTTGATCGGCTTGTGTTTATTAAATTATCGACACCAATGTAATGTGCTAAATAATGTTTTTCTTCCTGTAAACTTTTTCACTAGTTTTTAATAATGTTTATTCCAAGTTTTTCTGGTAATCACTAAGTTTTTTTATGTATACATATATTTTAGGCTCTAAACGCAATGAAACTTGCTTCATTCAATTAAAATTGTTTCCTTATGACTATTATTATTATTGTAATTATAATAGTCGACTTTCGACATCGATGAATTTTATATTCAGAATGTACAAAAAGAAATACATTGATTTCCAATTATCCCTTTATTTACTATAAGATTATGAAAGTAGACATGTTTATACTTTCAAATTTCGCGGGAGATACTTTTCAAATTGTATTCCACTTATCATTCATGACAGTTATTTGTGTGAAACAGATTTTTCCGTTTCTTTTTTCTTCTGCTTCTTCAATGAAATATCTGTTAATGCACGTATTCAGTTGAATTGATATTTACGTAAGTTTAAACAAATGTTTACAACGATTATAAAAGTTTTTCAAGATTTACTCGATATCATATATAACAATAAGTTGCTGACAATAAAAATAAGAACTTGTGGTATATGTAGATATATTAATGAAATACAGTTCTGTTCATTATATGTTCCTTAGGATCGAATCTTAAGGCAGGCTGTATATATATATATTTTTTAATCATCGTGGTAATGTCAGGTAGTAGACCTCTAGTGTTTAAGTCGCCCATTTACAACTATTGCGGTTTGTTTTTCCGTGTTTATGTCATATATTAGTTTAATTTGTCAGTATTATACTCTGACACATATCTGTTATCAACATCATAAAAATTAATACACACTTGATAGATTTATCTCCATCTTGGTTAGGAAGAGACTGCATGGATTATTGTAGCTGGACAACAGTACCAACAAATGTCTTCTGTTTTTCAAATTGACTAACTTCCGTGTTGGTGAAGTTTATTTACTCAACCAACAGATATTATTGTCACTTTTAATGTTTCTGATTAATCGAGAAACTATAATGAAATATAGGAACAAAAAAATACACCTAAAAAATCTACAGGTATACAATGTATTTCTTATTGTAATGAAGTTATTGTATTTAAAGGATTAAATTTTAACTTGTAAAATAGTTTCAACTTTATAATCAATATGTAAAATAAACTAAATTGAAATTTTCTTTACATTTATGTTATTATTAAGTAAATTGCCGAATTGTCACCAAAAATGATCGTTAACTACTTAGCACT